AACCTACGTCTATTTCTTTACAGATATAGTGGCTTGTTATTTAAAACTGATAGGAATATATACATATTATTTCCATAATAAAGCTAATATTAAGAATTATTTGATAATATATATTTGTATACATATTTATTAGCAAGTAACATGCCTTTAGACATGTGATATGATGTAACGAATAGTGATTTGGCTGAATATTAGTAAAAGTTAATCAATGTTTAGTACAAGACAATTTTAACAATGTTCCAAATTCCTTCTTTTATAACTGCCTTACTGTATACCTTTATGATGTTCACAGAAATAACAGAAACAATAAGAAAATTTTTGGAGGTTAGAAAAAAACCATGGTAAATATAGGTTACAACCTCACATGGTAAATACGGCATCAACCCTGATCGTGAGCTGTCACCAGAATTGATTTCAAACTTGCAATTGCTTTTTTTTTAAATATAGGGGTCTGCCTGACGGTGGGTATGAGTTGGTCCTGTCAATTACGTTTCGTGCAGGTCTCTGTTTAGAAATTGACAAGACTTGGGCGTTTATTCTACCACAGATCACAATATGGAAATCTTCCCAAAAACATCACTAACTGAAAAGGTATGGATAAAGTTAGCCACCTCAAGGTAAATTATTACGGCTAAACATTTTCTTAAAAATATTTTTGAAATATAAAATTCCTTAAAACGCTTTAACAATTGCTGTTCACACGAATAGATTACGATATAGAAATATCGTCGTTAACGACTGCTTTGATTTATTTTTATATTAAATAACTTTAAAAAAATACAATAGAAGATTATTTGATTTAACAAACGTAAGAACATAATTAGAAAATTAACGGGAACAAATAAATAGTCGCACATTCCAATTAACATTCATTTTCACTGAATAAAAACTACAAGGAATCAATTAATGACTAGAAAACCTAAATATTACCGGACGTCCTGATATCATACAGATGTAATTAAAAATCCAAATTTATGTAATATTTATAAATCTAATTAGTTTTATTACAATTAAAGCAAAGTTGTACAGATGTATTACAATGTTATACAAATTTATATATACCGAAAAACACAGGTTTTCCACATTTATGACAATTCCACATTGTTATATTAAAAGATAATTTTCGGTGACAACTAGAAAATAATGTTCAGAAATAAAACACTTTAAAGTCTTCACGTGTATATTCACTGCAAGTGTACGCCCATACAATATTTAAGTGCTCTCAAGCTAAATAATGCAATAATTTTCCCGAAAGAATTTTCTTTCATAAAACATAAAAAGAATAAAAAAATTCAGTTGTTTGTTTTGATTTTAGCATTTTCTCTTTAAAATGAGCTATATAATTATGCAATTGCCAACTTCTTATTGGTTGGTTTCCGTAGCAGAATATATTATTAGCCAATGAATAAAATTAATCTTTAAAATAACCACTGTATTTAACGCTTTCTTTATTTTTACATTTGTTCTGTATTTTTGTTAAATGAAACATGTTTCCTTCCAAATAATTCTTATGATCAATTTAAATCAATAAAGTAAATTAAATTAGTTTGAAATTACTAATATTATTGAAATTTTTGTTAACTGTTAAAAAAAGAGTATGCGGTTATTTTTTTTTCGTACTCGTAACTGCAACTATTACACTGCAAAATTTGATTTCTGATGAATTGCAGACACAACAAACAAAAGTTTTGTTATTAAAATATTAATTGCGCCTTATTACTTATCGGCAATCTTGTAATTCACCTGGATCAAGCTTTGTGATCATAATGCCTACTGTAGTTCCTGATGATTCACGGTTCCAAGTCGAACTTACTAATGCTGGTACTAAACTAGTTGTCGTCGATTTCATGGCTAGCTGGTAAATTAATCATTATCTAAACAGTTTTTCACTTAATCACTTGAATTTCTTCTTTGTATATTGACATCAATGCCATGATATTTTATATGTAATACTGAGATATCTATTCCTAACGAAAACATCAAGCTTTAACTAAATAAATCTTTTGTTTATATCCAGACTGTTATTAATTTATGTTCTTTTTGGTTTACTTACTAATTGATTATTTTGGTTTACTTATAATTCGAACATACTAATGCAGGTACTAAACTAGTTGTCGTTGATTTCATGGCTAGCTGATAAATTAATCCTTATATAAACAGTTTGAAACTTAATCATTTGAATTTCTTTTGTATATATATATATATATATTTTATTATGTATATTATAATGCTCACCACAGAAGCTTTGGATGGATTTCATAACTGCTTCCATATTTATTTCTTTAGCACTCGCAATAAGGATATAGGAGCATAGAACAGTCCAGAAAAACATTATGCCCTATTTTATAATTCCAAAGCTAAAATAAAAATCAATTAGTGAAAAAAGCAAGTTATAATTTTCGAAAAAAATCAGTGAATTTATATACCTCCAGAAAAATTAATTTTAAGGAACATTTGACTAAAATTTATAATTTCTGTGCAACTTTAATTTTTGATAGGGAAAAATTCAACCATTTTCGAATTATTCAATAAAAGAGTAGTAAATCAGTATTTAAAGGAACAGGAATTGTTCCCTTGGTTTTGAAAATAAAAAATTGCATATAAGTTTGTGAATTTAATATAAAAATTCCTGCTTCATAAAGTTTTTAAAGTTGTTATATATTTCTGAAACGCAGCTATTTCAAGAGAAAAGAGATCAAAGGCCAGCCAAAAATAGTCTTTTATTATTATCTTTAAAAAATCTGAAGGTATTTAGCATTTCATGAAACCTAATAATAGAGTACAGAATTTTGATTTTATACAGATTTTAATTTGATTTCAGTTTTTAGAAAATCATGGTGGTAGATTTGAACATTTTTTACAAATTGTAGGTTAAAAAACTGGGCCGGATGACTTGCGATTCGTTTAGAAGCCTAAAGAAATTAGGCGAATTACCTTCAAAAGAAGTAAGTTAAATAAACTCTCTCAAAAAAAAAATGGTGAAACACAATAAGCAAAGATCTTAGGATTGTGCAAAATTTTAAACTTTCAAAACGTATGTACGTTGAAACCTGAAACAACTGCTGTTCCTATGCAGGCTATGAATTCATAGCAAATGTTCCTATGTTATGAATCGACTGTCTGAAACTGGCTGCAGTGCCGAAGACAAAAAACGTGAAACCGAATGCAATCCTATAATTTGTTACTGAGACCTTTTATTTTTTAACTAACGGCCTCCGTCACCTGCTTGGTCATGCTCGTCAACTCTTGGAACAACTTGCTTCCTCCCCCTGCTCCGTTCGCTCGTTGGATGCATTACCTCCCGTCCATTTTTTTATAGTTTTTTGAAGACTAAAATTCAGAATAAATAGTTTATGAAATTTTCTCTGCACAAAATTCTAAATTCATGACTGGTTTCTCTGAATATACTTCTAAATAAATTTCTTTCAATATTAGTTTGAAATTGCAAAATGCTTACGAATTTTTCACAATTCTAAATTTCAGTATTCAGAAAAACAACAGGTGTATCATAAAATTGTAAAATGTTCATAAACCAAAAAAAGTAGTAAGAAAAATGAGTATAGTCATAAAAAGGGATTAAAATTAAAGTTATTGTTGTTGCTAATTCCCATCTGGTCTGACGGGGTCAGACCAGATCAATGAATCCGTTGATATTAAGAAAATCCGAAACCAGAATGGGAGAGGAATGAATGTCATTCCAGTCCAGCCCTAAACAGTTCAAGATGTGCTCAGGTGATGCCTGGTTTTGTTGGCATTTAGGGCAAAGAGAAAAGATCTTTTGATTTGCAGAAAATGTGAGACTTTTCAGGTGTCCACTGGCCAGTCGGGATAAATTAAAGTAGTATTTAGAAGTTCAAATAAAACTTTACGTTGAAATCAATAATAACAACTCAAATATCCCCGAAGCAGTACTTAACTTTCAAATGTTTCCCCATAAAAACATTTTTAAATTGCGGTATTCTGACACAAAATAGCTTCAAATCCTGGAGTGTAATATGAAGTAGTAAAATGTTAAAAAAAAGTGAAAGAGGATAATACAGTTATAAAGTGATTGAAAATTAAGGTAGTATTGTACAGTATAATCTTTGATTAATCATGGATGAAAAAGAGCATTCGTATTACATCCGCATACACTCATGCAAAAAATTAGCTAATAGCCTTTTTAAGCTAGCCTCGCAGCTCTCCATTGTTATTGACGCATGAAAAAATTGAACCAATCAAATTCGAAGAGAGACTGCGTTTCTGTTTAGCCTTATACTTATGTCAAGGCATGAAAAGAAATTTCCTCAATTTTATTTACCTTACGTTAAGTTTTTTAACGCTTAAGTTCTAAATAATGTTTTATATAAACATTATGTAACATATAAACATTTTATATAAGCATTTTATATACAAGCATTTTATATATAAACATTATATATAAACATTTTATATAAACATTTTTATAATGTATTTTATGGAAAATAGCTTTCTTCCAGTAAATTCTCATAAAAAAAAAATCGCTGTTCTGCAAAGATAATTCACTGAGAAACTCAAAGGAATCTGCATCGTAGCTCGACGAATTTAAGAAATTGGCACTAATAATACTTAAAACATTGATGAAAATAAAGATTTTAATATATTTTAATAAAAAGTAATAAATACGTACCTATGTGAATTATATATTAATACTTTTTTTAAATTTGAATTTTTTCTGCGTTAGGTTTCCGTTTTGAAAGTGACTTATACGGGGAAATATTTTCATGAAAATTCCAGTTAAATATCTTGCCATAATAATATTTCATTTTGGAAATTTCTTTCACTTGCTTATTCACCTGACAAAGAAAAAACACACAGACAAGTGCGTGCTATGTGGTATAAAAGATTTACCATTCGATTCTCATATGAAGAAGGAAGTAAAGCAGATTAAAGAGCTCTAAACGAATTGCATGTTTTGTTTGGAATTTTTTTTTAAACAAACCATACAATAACTTCTATTTTTTAGCCACCAATTTCTAATAATATATTTCCTTATATTTAATTGCTTAGTGGGAAAACTCATGATCCATGTAATTATTTTATAACAGTGCTTTTCTTATGCATGTTCGTACATACTGGTTGGACTATTGAAGGATGATTATAAGACTATAACTTTCTCGGCCTGTTTTATTCTAGTTTCAATCAAAATCCCTGTTTGGGGAAATTTTGTGTGGAAATAGGGATTGATTCAAATTTACTGATAAAACCAGGGACTTGATAGCTTAGCATGTCCTTTTAGAGGTTTGTTTCTTGGGCCGGAATAATGGAGGAGTTCATCACTGGTTAAGTGAGCGAAGAGCGACGTCTCTGACAAAGTTGCGCTCTATTTCAACTTTCAAGGAAGGCATCGCTGCCCTATTAAGGGGTGCCGGTAGGGTATATATGATAATGATAAAACTAAGCTCTTTTCGACGTACTTTTTTACAGTAGTTAATTGAGATTTTGTTTCAGTCTTTTTTTCTCACAGAATATTTACGTATACATGTTTAACTGATAATACATATCTTTGGCGAAAAAAAAATTTTAAAAAAATTATGAACTGAGAAAGTTTAAATTTTTCAAAAGTTTCAGCTTTATTGAGCAAAAGTGTTTCATAACTGAGTTAACGCTAAAACATCATCACATCATACAAGTGATATATTCTCATATAACCCCAAAAAATTTTAAAGCTTTGTCATAAGCAGTTTCTTAGAAAAAGTACAGTTTCTTAGAAAAGTGATATATGCCCTACCGACTCTCTTTGTAGATACTTAACTTGAATTTTAAGGATTAAATAGTTTGTTTAGTTTGGATCATAGTTTGATGTTTTCGAAGAAATTTCTAAATTTTGAGGCAATGCATCTCTCAGAAGACACCTTTCGATTTGAATATATATATATATATATATATATATATATATATAGAAACGTAGCGAAAATAAATAGAAGAAAAAAACAAAACTTTATAAGGATTTTGGAGCATGACCATTTGTCTATCTGACATTTAATTTACTGTTAAAATAATTAAAAGTAGTGATGGAAAAAAATTATTTTAATTCTTATTCATAAGAATATTAATACACTATCTTAGCTACCACTGGAAAAAATATATTCAGAAAGTATTGAAAACTTGCAGTAGAATTCTTATCAAAACTAAATCGCCAATTACCATTGTACCAGTAGTACATATTACCGTCCGGGATACACATGAATTAAGCGTCATCTGTGAAAGGTGATATTTTAATGTTTTCTTAAGCGAATTTCCCATTAATCTGTCTTCCATGGGCTGGGCTTTTTAGCATGCAGCTTATTTTATATTATTTCAGTTAATACGCATTTTTTATTACTTTCTATTTATTTTTTTTATCGTGTCCTTGGGCAATTAAATGGCCTCGTGTGCCTTCAAAACTGCATCCGCAAGCTCCAATACATCATTACTGTCACAAAGTTCTGTAGCCAGTGGCACCATACCGAGTTGTAAAACATATAGGGCAAGGGCTGGGCACTCGAGAATGTGATCCGGGGTAAAATCAATATTATCAATATTAATTGAGCATTAGTGTCATTATAATATGCAGATTTTTACGGTTACCCAAACCACTTTTCTCTTTATTTTTGCTTTTTAGAACAGAAGTTACTTTTTCTTACAATTTCAATTAATACATATTACCAGCATTAATTAAGCATCATTGTCGTAAATGATAGTTAGACGACTTCGTACGGTTCTTATAGGAAATAATTACCTGTACTCCATTTCTTTTTCTTTCTAGTACAGCTTATATCTATATATATATTTCTCTTACACGGCACCAAAAAAATGCCTCATTACAACTCCTCGAATGGCAGCGTTAAAAAATTGACCAATGATTGCTGCTAAAAATGTCAAATGGCAAATCTAGATGAGGTGGCACAACATATAGCGCCTTTAAAAACGGAAACAATAACCAGAGTGAGCATTATCAGGTTGTTCAATTCAGATTCATGCCCTAAAAACCTATCAATTCAACAGCAGCCTTTAAAAGGCTGCTGTTGAATTGATATTTTTCTACTGGGAGCTTCCTAAACGCCAACTGCCTAAACGCTCCAAGATGCCAAATCTATAATTGTGTTTTCAAAGAAATTCTAAATGCTTAGTGTTAATTTCTTAGAGCTTTGCAGAAAAAAATGATTTTTGGAAAAAATTTAATTGAAACTTCTATTGGCAGTAGGCAAGGGGAACTGCCAAAATCATAACTCCCCGATTAGAAATGCAGCATGTCGACCTCCACGTGGTATTTCTCGGGTAATGCTAACAGCCATGCATTTTAATTTATTGTATGTAAAACATCCTTATTTTGTTCTAAAATGTTATGTACTTTATCACAAATGTTAATTAATATAGAAATTGATTTCAATAATGCTAAAAATCACCAAATATGATCACCAAAAAATATTTCATTTGGCGATAAAACAAATTTTTGTGTTCTTGAAAATGAAAGACTTTTTGAGGGTTATTATCTCACAAGGAAAAGTTAGGGTTTAAAGTTTATATTTTTAAATAATAATTTTTTTTTCTAAAACTTTCAGAATTTCTAGCATTAACTAGTTTATTATACACATTTAGTTAAATTTAGGTGAGTAACTGCAATATTTGATAATTTATTTTGCTAATATGTTTCTTATTTAGCTAATGTTTTGATTTTTTCACCATGTACAATCTAAATTGATAATATACTTTTTTAAAAGCCAATAAGAACATTGATAGAATTCTTCTACATAAGTACAATACTATGTCTTTGATGATAAAATACTATGTCTTTGATGATAATATACTATGTCTTTGAGCTAGAACATTGTGTTCATTGGCGAGCGAGCGCAGCGAGCCATGGTTCACGGCGTGAACCACATAGGATTGCGTAGCAATTCTCGGGGGTTGGCGAGCGTTAGCGAGCAGGGGGCGGAACCACCTAGTATATATATATTTCTCTTACACGGCGGCAAAAAAAAGCCTCATTACAACTCCCCGAAAGGCAACGTTAGAAAATCGACCAATGATTGCCGCCAAAAATGCCACATGCCAAATCTAGCTTAGGAGGCTCAACATATAGCGCTTTTAAAAACGGAAACTGAAATAACTGAATAACAGCAGCTGATAGCATTCTCACCCTATCAGCTGCGGCAATCTCATACTATTAAGCTAGGCAGGAGTGAATAGTCTTTGTCGATAGATCTCTATTTTAGTATTTTGTCGAAACCGCTTTTTTTTTTCACGAATTTATATATTACGAATTTAGTTAACGATTTTTGATTTATAATACGAATTTATTTCTTTTATTATTGTTATTAGTTATTCATTGAAATAGGAGTTTCAGTCGTGCTGTTACACTTTAAAATTTTATACTATAGCACATTTCTAATATGTTTACCGAATTACATGTCATGTATTTGAATTCAAATTTATTTTAATGACTTAGTATTTACTAAAAATAAGTAATTTTTTTTTACAAAAGAAGTTGTTATAATGGATTTGAATGATTGTTTTGAATTCTTAGAATTTTGTGCATGTGCAATGCACCTAAGTTAGTAGCGAGCAAAGCGAGCTTGGTTTGCGAAGCAAACCATATAAGATTGCGTAGCAATTTTCGGGGGTTGGCGAGCGTTAGCAAGCAGGGGGCGCAGACCACTAGTTTCTTTTATTTCAATATACATATAATGTCTTAATTAATTAAACATCATTGGCGTAATTCAAACTCATTAGTGTCGAGTTTTTATGCTTCCCCTAAAGGAATTAATACCATTTTCCCATTAATTTTAGCTTGTGAATACATAAATATTTTTTTTTCTATTTCATTACCGTTGATTTCAAATATGTATTTTTTTAGAAACACGTTTAAAAGAATTAATATAAATAAAATAAAATCGCATATCTTCAGACAAAGTATAAATTTGATGACGTAAACCACGCATGCTACCACGTAATGTTCATCGAATTCATCTGACATAGAGAATATAAAATTATTTAATATTTAAATAAGTGCAATAAACTATTTTTTGACCGAACAGAGCTATAAGCTTGCAATTATCACTGATGTTATCTTTAAAATATGTGAAAATTGAATCGTTAAATTTAAAACAATGGCTAACGCTTAACCAATCAGAAAATTTCATTTCGTTTTTCGCTCATCATGCAAGAACGATTTGTCGCAGAATGTTCTAATGTTGACAGTGACGTGCTTGAAACTATCTGTATGGCAAATTTCATCGCTTTCTGTCTGTTGGTTTAGGAGTCTATAAAGTACATACATACACACATTCATTTTTATATACATAGATTTTAAAAAAAGATTTACTTTATTAATTAATTTTGTATACATCTTCTTGTTTCGTGCTTGTTGATCGATAAACCGGTATTGTCGATTAATGCCGGTTAATAGATTTTTTTCACCCCGTGCAGAGAATGAATATTGAACTAGTCTGAAATCTTTTACCGGGTTACGGAAAAAATTGTAAACTGCCCACAACTTGCAACTCAGTAATGAAATTTTCTGTCTGCTGTACTGGTCAAATAATGTATTTATTTTACTAAAAATGTTCAGTATTAACAATTATAAAAAAGAAATTATAGATTTCGTTAACCAGCTTAAAACAGTGCTTTGAATTTACCATTAGTTGACAAAAATATACCTGTGCAAAATTTTAGAGCGAAAATATTAGCTTTGTAAGTAACTCAATTACTTTTGCTGCCTAGGCGGTACCGAAGTTTTGATTCAATTATGAAGGTATTAAGTTAAAATTCTAAAATTTCGAACACGTATAAAGAAAGGATAACAATTAAGTGCTATCGCAAGTCAATCAATAAAATCTACAATTTTTAGTCCGACTTCCACAATTTTTGACCCATTCAAAAGACGAAAGATATTAATTCAGAGTTACTCGTATAAGATGAATCATATTGTAGCACTGCCGCTGAAAGATTTAGACTTTTTTTGCCGTATTTTAATAAACATACTAAACTGGATTAACCAAATCATATCGATTCGTACGTGTGGCACGTTAGTCTTGCACGGCACCGTACTAGTCATTAGTCTTTTATACGCGTACTACATTAATCTATTTTCTCGTGAATCTTTTGAAAGTTGAAGTCAGATAACAAGAAGGATTGATCTAAGAGAGACATTTTCATACATAACCAAAGAGTGCAAACAGTACCCTTGTTTTGAAAAAAAAAGAAAAGGTTTTCATTTTATTGAAGAAAAAAAAATCACAATTAAGTTTCTATTTGGATTTTGGTTCTTCATCCGTTGGTACATACATATCTATACCAAACTTTTCAGACATAGCCATATCACAATCCTGAAATAAATAAAGCTTTTTCAGAAATAAAAATATACAATTGTGCTAATCTAAGTTATTAAACAATGAATATTTCCAAGTGGTTTATTTATTTATTTTTTTGTACTGTTGATGATCATTAGATTATCTCACAGAAATAAAAGGAAGAGTTTGCGCGAGTGTATATGTGTGTCTGTTTGTCCCTCTTCAAACTCTAGAACCATTTATGAAATGTTTATACATCGGGAAAACGGTGTTATTTTAATCCCTCGATCATTTCATTAAAATAGTTCAAAGGTTTCAATTATATTATTTGGCAGATACGTTTGAAAAATAGAATTTTGTAGCTGGTTTTCTCAAATGCCAGTGATATAAATTAAACTTCTGACAGTTCCGTTTTTTTAATTAATATTTTAACGATAATATCTGTGATTTCTGCAAATTTATATTTTCATTCAATCATCAAAAAGATTATTTCTTTTTCTAAATATTTAATTTTTTTTAAATTTCTATACCAGATAAACTCAATGATCAATGTGAACGTTGTAGCATAGATGGGTTAGGTCACCAAAATAGATTTCCTTAAGTTATCTTTGTGTTGCCATATAAGGCACTACATATTTTCTATCTTTTAAAATTTCATTAATTTTTTTAAATTTAATTTTTCTAATAATTCTTAATCTAATTTTAATTTAATTAAACCTATTATTTAATTTTTATCAGATTCTATAAAAAGCAAGCATAAATATGTATTCTCTTCCTCTTAACAAATAATGTAACGGCTAACATTTTTATATCAATACAAATGTGAAACTCATTAATTCAATCGAATAAAATCTATTGAATCGAATAAAATCTATTTACAATTCTTTATTTCTTATGTAACTTTATTTCTCTTACCACAGAAATGTTTCAGTTACAGCGTTATATTAATTCTCACGGTCTCTTTGTATATTAAGCTATAGCGCCAATTATTTCAAATTTAATATTAATTACGAGGCTTGGCTTTGTTTTTGGCTATTTTATCTTTCGATAAATTGCCAACTATGGATCTCTTCCCATGCTCCTACCAGTCCGACGGGAACAATTCAATTACTTTCATTCAATTACTCCTAGATCCGACCATTAATGAATTTCTTCTAAAATTTTCATATTAGAAATATGCATCTCTTTTTCCCTATTAGAGAATACTTTTTATTTTGGCCATGATGTATCTAATAATAATATTACTAAAAATAAATCAAGAATCCTATTTTTGAAATGACTTTGCTCAATTTTTTGGAATTAATCTATATGTCGTAAGAAGCGCAATCTAAAACAAAACATTTCTACTTTGGACAAAATCTTCGCGAAAAAGTAATGAACTTACCTCCATTATATAAACTGGTATGACTCCCATCAAATAGCTTAAATAACTAAATTATACCAAACTTCCATCAAATTCTTATCGTTTTTTCGTAATTTTGAATTTAAAATGCGTTAAGATAAGGCGAAATTTAAAATTTTACGGTATTTTAAATTCAACGAAATTATGTACTGAAAAACATTATTAACGAAGAAATTCGTTAAGGATAAATGTAAAAAATTACCATGCCTTTATTTAACCTAATTATGCTTAATTAATTTTGGTAATAGATACTCCTTAAAATAAAAAATAAGCTATGCTCTATAAATCAAATTTAATAGAGAAATGTACTTTTTCATTTAGAGAAATCTTAAAAAATCGTAAACTACTATTGACATCAATGATGAATAATTGATTTTGGTAATAGGCACTACTGATATTTGGCAATCGGTGCAGTTTTTGCTAGGTACCAAATATTCTAATACAGGTAAAAAGCTAATATATTGGTATATTGAATATCTATTAGAACTGCACTAAATCTGTGCAATTCTAATATAGATAATGTGGAAATAAGTTTCTTTTGACCCCCCAGAAGGATGAGTACCAAAAAAAATTGTTGATTGGCGTAATTGGGACAATCATGAATTGGACTTCACCAACAGTATTATACTAAACGGCACTAAATCAAACTAATGGTTTATTTAATGGGAAGAACTACTAAACAAGTGTTTTACTTAACTGAATAACGTAAAGTCTCCAGAAGTGGTAACAAGTAAATAAAAAAATATGAATATATTAAATAAGAAATAATCACATTATATTAATGGACAACAGCATTATATCAAATGACACTAAATCAAAGTAATTTTTTATTTGATGTGATGAAGTACTAAAAACATGTTCACTTAAATGAATAACGTAAAGCTACCAGGAGTGACAACAAGTGAAAAAAGAAAATTGAATATAGTAAATAAGAAAAATAGAGTTATTTTAACTTGATAAATTCTATTCGTATATGTTATCCAGTTTCGTGCTTTATTTCGAAGTGCTGTACAGCAGTGTTCCCCAATCTTTTTATCACTGCGGGCCTGTCAGCGTTTGATTATTTTACCGCGGCCCGCTGGGGGGGACGTTGATCGTTTATATTTTAGATTATTTTGATTTATTAATTTTAATTTAATTGTATTTAAACATGCCTTCAAAATAAAATACAGCTACATCAAAAAAATAAATATAAAGTGATTTAACATTTCAACTTACTAGAACGTTAAATCAATGAGAACCCTGAGCATGTTTCTTTGCCCTGAGATGGTTCCATCTGGGGGTAATTGGGGACAATGATGCATTACAAACATTAAAAAAATTATGTCACTACCTTCGGGTGTCCCTTTTTTAAAAAAAAAAGTTTTAATGTAACACAGATATTTTTAATTTGGGGTGTAAACCTAGAAATTTAAATTTAGTTTCAATGAAATGGGCGGCCCGGTACTATTTGATCCGCGGACCGGTACCGGTCCGCGGACCAGGGGTTGGGGAACACTGCTGTACAGGACTCATTAATTACAATTTTTTTTTAATCCTTACTAAGAATGGGCATTCAACTAGTTTTAGTCGTAACTAAAAAAAATTCAATTCCAAATATATCACAAAAATTCAATTCAAAATATATCAAAAATTCAAGTTCAATTCCAAATACATATAAAAAACATTGCACAAGCACTTTTTAAGAATATGAAAATTTTAAGCTTCACTTGCGTTGACTCAATTTCGATTTTTTTTCTAAACATTCATTTTTTTTAAACGAAAGTCTTTTAGAGAGAGATAATGTAATTTTCACAGCATATTATTAAAGACAAACAGTTTATCTAGTACTTAAATAACACAATAAAACTTAAAAACTACATTTTCTCAATGAAACAAAAATAACTTTTCAACACTTAAATATTGCGTATGTACGACAGAAATACTTAGCATTCTTTTCTAAATTCAAATGTTTGAAAAATCAACTTTTTTTTACCATCACAGACTGTGTTTTTAATTCAAACAAATACTTACAAATGAGTCAGATCTCTCAGTCTGAAAGAAAACATTAAATATAAGAAATTATTCAGAATATTTTTATTATATAAAAAAATATAGAGAAAACGATCTGAAAGTTTTCTTATAAAAATCGCTTTATACTATAACTTTCTTAACACAATAAATGCAAAATTATATTGAAAAATTAAGCTTAACATGTGTGCTTATTTTCACTTTTTATATTTTAAATAAGCATACTGAATTTCATTCAGATTTCGGATCGATGTTTTAAATTTTTTTATGAATTCAAAACAAATAATGAGATAACAATTTGCAACGATACAGATGGCCGTAGTATCACGTACAAAATGTATAAATGGCTAAAATATGTATAAATGGATAAAAGAAATTATAAATAATAACGATAATAGTAATATTTATAAATAATAATGATAATAATAATGTGCTTGAGTATTAATAATATGTATAAATGTATATAATAAGTGTATACATAACAGTATAAATAACTGTACATAATAAATGTGTAAATGTACGTATATATGAACTGACTGGACATATATTTGTGTGAGTTATTCATCTGAGAATGTTACTGATGTAATTATGACCGCATCAAGAGGAGAACTTAGAACGTGGAATGGTGGTTGGAGGTAGATGCACGGAACATTCCATTCCGGAATTTGTGAGGAAATTCAACATTCCGAGATCTTCAGTGTCATGGGTGTGCCGAGAATATCTAATTTCAAGCATAACCTCCTACCATAAGCAACGTAGTGGCTGACCGCTGCGTGAATGCATGTATGGGCGGCTATTTCATAGCATAGGGTGGATCCTCCAATAGGTGGATTTATTTAATCATTGACGGGGAATGGTCTTAATCAGCTACTTAGAAACCACTTGCAGCCATTCATGGATTTTGTGAAAGCAAACATCGATGGAATTTTTATGAATGACAATGCGCCATTTCAGCAGGCCGCATTTGTTCGTGGCTGATTTGAGGGGTTACAGTACCTTTGCAACAATTTTTTTAAATAAAGGTATAATCATTCATTTTGAGGATCCTTTACATGCTTACTTAACTTATAATCAATAATTTATCTTCAAAAAACAATTAAACTGTTTAAATTTTTTAAAATTTTAAAAAAAGTTCAAAAAGTTCAAAATTTTTAAATCCGTAAGGCTTTTTTATTTGAACTTATTTTCAAAAAATTTTTCTTTCTTAGTGCTTACAATATTCTTCTTAACAATTTTGTACATTCATTTATTGATATATTAATTAGAGTATTTTTTATTAAATATTTTGTAAAAATGTAGAAAAAAAAGGGTAAAAATTCCTGTTAGGTATATATAACATGCTGTAAAAATTGTAATACCTTATAAAATGCTTATTCCATGCACAGTTTAATTAAGTGTATTATACTTAAGATAAAAAAGTTTACTTCAAAGCTTTATCTTAAATAGAAAAAATTCCTTAAGGATTTAATCAAGATCGAAACACAAAATTATCATTTATGAGAAAAAGCCCTTTAAAGTTTGTCTGCAGAGCAAGATTCTGTATTAAGACAATCTAAAATCATTTATAACTTTTTCAAAAATGTAGATAGAGACATGATTTTTTTTAGTACATTTGAAATAGCTTGAAGTTTTATTATAAGCAATAAAAAAAATTGGTATTTTTGTCATTTTTTGGGTACTGTGACCCCTTGAATAACACTCTGGACGATTCCCCACTAGTAGGGTTTTTCCACTAGTGAGGAATGGTCTAGAATAGCATAGCTTTACCCCACTAGTGGGGTAATACCGGGTACATATGTTTATTCTATGGGAAATTTAAAAATAGTAGAATTTCAATGAAAAAGTAGAAGACATTTCTATTTTATGAAACAATTTAAGTGTGTTGTAGTAAAGGCCGAACTTAAGAGAGAGAGAGTGCAAAAAGAGGGACAACTTTCCCAGGGACTGGGACCGCTGAGGGATCCCTTTCAAAAAATATAGTGTTTATTAATGTTTGTTTTTAAAAAAGAAGTTCAGGTTTTTTTCATATCTGTTTAAAAACTACAATTTATTTAAAGAGTCTTCAAAAATTCTACCAAATGTGAAAATAAGGCTTTCTGTGCTTTAAGGATGGATGCTGTTCATGATATACGCAATGAATTTTGTCCAGGGAACTATCCAGCGCCCATAAAACTGTTGCTCAATCATGGACATAGATATCTTCTTCCACTGCATTGCAGCTTTCGTTCCCCCAGAATAAGCACACATCAAGGGGAGGGGGGCACCATGTCGTGTAGTACCCAATTTCACCCCTCGAGCTTAAACTATCTAAACGAAACAGAACAGGGTTACTTATCGGGCTGAATTCTTATTGTTTGTTAGGGTATGAACAATTAATAAACGTATAAAAGCCGTATAATAAGCTGGAATAAGCATCACAGTTATAAAAATAGTTTTGACAGCTGTCTTTTAGCTTAAAATATGAGAACATTAAAGAATTGACATAGCGAATCAGACTTATCTACACAGATGCCGCGAGTCAATAAGCAATACGCCTTCTTGACTGGTAAAGAGAATTTATCTGCTCGAAACACAGAAGTAATTTCACCAAAACCAAAATTTCTCCTCTTTCCCCCGTATATTTAAATATAGAGAAAGATTTGTCTTGAATAGACATAAATGTCGGTTACACTTTAGGCGGTACAAATACCGATAATGTAAATGTAGACTTAAAAATTAAAACGATTTATATTTCAAACTGAGCAAACAAATATTTAATAAAACCGATTTGTCTTGAATAGATATAAATGTCAGTTACAGTTTAGGCACTGCGGCAGTACAAATACTGATAATGTAAAGGTAAACTTAAAAATCAAAACGATTTTTATTTTAAATTGAGCAAATAAATACTAAATAAAACCAATTAGAAATTCTTTTAACATTAACTTATTTTTTAAACCAAGCGAATTTAAGGCAGAGGGTAAAGTTCCTGTTTTACACTGGCGCCATCTATGACCAAGAATACGACTTCAGCAGCACACACGTCATAACCTTTTTAAAGGGAGGACCCATTCATACATCCATTCATCCATCCACAGATCGTAATTTTGACTTGAGCCAGAGAACGTTCAATCTCCAAATCAGTACCTCCAAAGGTATGATTTGTTATGGAAACATGGAGGATTTTATGACCCATCAGATTTAAGGTGCACCAGTTACCATTTACTTCGCGGGGAGTCTTCGGCAGGCGGAGATCAAACTCACGACCTTTTAAACTTGAGTCAAATGCCCAACCAACCAGGCTATTCCGACCCACGTTTGTCGTATACATAGGTAATTGTTCGTGTCCCATTACTTTATGCAGCTCCAAAATACTTACTTAAAAATCATTTTGTGAAAGTTTTGTAATTTTTTCAAGTTATAAATATCTTCAAATGTCAAAAATTATCATCAATATATATCTGTGAAATAAATAATTAGATTTAAACCATCATGTTGTTTCTCATAGGATGTTAGAAAAAAATTATTAGTTCATTTAAATTTATTAACTCCTCTATATTTTTCAGATTTGCTAGATCAACTTAAAATTTAAATCAATTTAGTTTTTAGGTTTACACTTGCAATGTTTAATTTTGCTATTTTTTAAATTTTAATTTTGAAAGCATTTAATCCTTTTTAAGAATTTTTGAATGAATAATCACGCATTTATATATAATTAATGGCATTTATCTAAAAAGTACTTTAGTCCGTTATATTATGTAGGTAAAGATAATCTGATATTAAGCGTAATTAGCTTTGCACCGCATAAAGCTAATCAGAACGGTATATTAAATTATTTTCAAAATTTGATAGAACTTAATTTAAGCTTTACACATATAATACTTACATTCTGCAATATGTCTTCGTGTTCTCCAAAGCATTTAAGAAGCTAAAAATGTAATAAATAAAAGTGTAATAATAAATGTAATAATAAATGTAATAAAAATAATAGAAAGTTTTATTCCAACAATACAAAGTAAATTGCAAATTATGCAAATAATATTGTTGCTGAAGTTTTTAAAGACTAAATTTAGAAGATTATGACGTAGCTGGTAGATACTGAGGAATGCTTATATTAAGAGTAAATTATTTTTGATTTTATTTTCACATTGATAAAAATTTTATTAAACAGTATTAATAAATTTGGTAAAAAGGAAAGAGTTTCGTAGAAAGAATTTCAGTAAAATAAGAGTAATTGCAAATATTTTACTTTAGTATGAAAAAAAAAGATAATTCAGTTTCCCTTTTTATGCCTACCTGAATTCTTGCATATTTCTAATTTTATAAATATTAAATATGTAATTTTGTTTAATTCTTAATAGCAAATGAAACTACATGGAATTAACAAGGGTAGTTAAGAAGGTAGTTTTCCGGGTAGTTAAAGAAGTAGTTAGCTTAATTGACAGCAATGCGATAAAACATTTTTCAACCAAACTAGGAGTCTCAAGTTTAAATATGTTGTTTATTAAAGTATAAAAATATATTCGGAAAAATTTATTGATGTTTGGTAATTAGCTTTATAGAGTGTAATGTTGAACGTTCCACTTGCACCAATTATGGTCATGTGCTCAGCGCAGCATAGCCGAATCCGGCTCGTGAGACTTTAACAAATTACAAAAGAAATACAGGGTTCCCTTTTTTGAATATAGGAATTTTGTTAGAAGCATTATTCCTAATACAACGCATGATTAGCTAACTTGGTTAGAAAACGCAACATGAAAGTTACAGTATTTAATACCTACTCAATTACGACTGAGAATCGAGTAAGGAAACCAGCTTGACAAACGAAAAAGCAAACATTTGAACCATCCCGTTATACACTGCAAATTGTTTTCAATAAGAGATAAAATAATATTGGTAAACTTCTGAATATGCAAGAAGTTTTATTAAAAATTTAATATTTCAACTGTTCTAAAAAATCATCCGATTTCGGGACGAAATAATTTTGAAAATAATACATCTTAAATGTTGTTGAAGTTTTATGCGTGGAAATAAGGATGAATATTTTATCAAAGTTGAATATTTCTTTTTGTTTTATCTCTACAAAAGAAAAATCACCTCTGAAAATGTAGTTGTTTGGTCTTGACACGCCTCTTGGAAAAAGGAAAAAGGTTCTTCTAGTCCTGGAATGGCTCTAGTATAACAACCACGTACAACATCTTGGATCTAAAAATGAAATTATTTTTAATATTAGTTTTAAAGAAAATTAATGAATGAAACTGAGGATTAATTTTCAGGCATCAAATGCATTTAAATAAATGTAAAAAACTTAAAATTCTTTATCATACATTATTTCTAGAAGCTTTAAGCTGAAAGTAAAATTATAGTTAACATTATCTGCTAATCAATGAAAATATTTGTTTAGAAAAGCAGTAAATGAAATTATTAATGTAAGAAATCAATAAAATTATTAAAATCTGGCTTGATTTATAAAGTATGATACTAACTGTTAGCTGCGAAACTCTTAACGTTTTCTTGTGAGAAAATCTTTACCACCTAATACGGTAAAACAACAAGAATATTATCAGCACCAACTAGGTTCTTAACCAATGATAATCAATTCTATGTTCTTCGATAGCTGGAAGCTAACCCATGTGATAAGGATATATGCGAAAATATTTGCTGGATAAAATTTTTTTTATTGATAATTAAATAAAAAGAAATTTAGAATTTTATTTCTGGAAATAGTGATAAATAATTTTTGAACCAGAATCGAAAACTAAAAATAGAATAAATATTATGCATCGAAAGCCTGTTACGTAGTGCTTAGAAGTAGTTTAAATTCATTTAATGTTCAAAAGATGCTTTAAAAATAATTGTTCAAGCTAAATATGACTTTTCAGAAACATGTTTGGATACTTATTGATTAATATGATAATGTTTTTGATTTATAGAACTGTACATAAAATAACTACAACTGATTTAACCAATACTTTATTTTTCCATCACTTGAAAAAAAAATTTTTTTTAATAGTTTTCAATTCCAACATAAAATTTTTAGGATGTTTTGCAAAAGTTACAATAAAAACAAAATAAATCACTCACATTTTCCGGGTTTAATGAAAAACATTCATTAAGCTCTGGCTTCATACTTTCACCATGTTCTTCCAGTTTCACTAAAATTATTTAAACAAAATAATTTAATTGTGCCACAACCACTATATTTGTATAATAAAAGCTGAAAGATTGTAAAATAGGCATTAGAGAAAATTTCTTTAACAAACACAAGGTCGGTTTCTATTTCTGAGGCATGAAAAACCTCAAAATCATTAACCTTCGAGTTCAAGTAGTAGAATGACTTAGCGAACGATATAGAATAGTTAGGAGCCAGATATTTCTAAACATGCTTCGATTTATATTTCTTGGCGAATTTATTCTAATTCATTATTTTCATAATTATTTAATAAATAATATAATAGGAATTTTATATATACTGCTTCTACCTTTAATTGTTTGTTTATAAATTTCCTAGATAAATAAGAAATTATTAAAAAAAAATTTGTTGCTTATTTTTAATAGCGATTTTTCACATAATTATATTCATGTTTAGGATTTAATCAAACTTTTGTTTTTAAAAATTAAAATAATAAAAAGTTTTAAGTTTTCAGTTAAGAAGCATTAACTTTGCAACTAATTACTACGCTTTAACTTTTTGAATTGCTTTTTCTTTGAAATGTTAGGAGAGTTGTTTGACCCCTCTAATGTTTGTTACAGTAAATAAAAGTCTTTGGTGCTATACTTCGGGCAAGGAACTGATGTTGAAACACTTAAACAATCAGAGAGAAAAAATGTAATCAGAATTCTTTATTATTCTTAAAAGATGGGGGAGGGGGTGTTAAATTACAATTTTGCAATATATTTTTTTTTATTTGCTTTCTTAAAGCCCACTTATTACTACAAGTATTGTTAGCTTTTAAGTATTGTACATCAATACTTCCTCGAAATCCAAAATCAATTCACGCAATAATTAAAAAATAAATAAACATTTCCCCTATTAAAAGATATACAACTTGTCATTGAGTTTAGTATTTATATATATATATATATATTCGTTTTAGATATGGCACGGTCTGTGATTGGCATGTACATAGTTGGCTTTTTCTTCATCTTCATTTCCTTCTTCACTGGAGTGGCCGNATATATAGATAGATAGATAGATAGATATATAGATATAGATATAGATATATATATATATATGTTATCATTATTATTTCTTTTTATTATAATTTTTACCACAAAAGCTTTGCATGGATTTCATTACTGCTTCCATATTTATTTCTTCGGCACTCGCAATTAGGATGTAGGAGCATAGAATAGTCCAGAAAAACATTATGTCCTATTTTATACTTTTGAAACTAAAATAAAAATCAATTAGTGAAAAAAAGCAAATTATAATTTGCAAAATGAATCTGTAAATTCATGTATTGCAGAAAAATTGCTTTTAAGAAACAGTTGACTAAAATTTATAATTTCTGCATAATTTGTTGATAGGGAAAAATTCCATCAATTTCAAATAATTGAATTAAAGAGTAGTAAATCAGTATTTAGAGAAAGCAGCCCAGAACAGGAATTGTTCCCTTGACTTTGAAAATAAAAAAATTCGCTTAAGGTTGTGAATTGAATATAAAAACTCCTGCTTCCTAAAGTTTTTTAAGTTGTTATATATTTCAGAAACGTAGCAATTTAAAACAAAAAGAGATCAATTGCCTACTAAAAATAATCTTTAATAATTTTCTTTAAAAAAAAATCTGAAGTTATTCAGCCTTTCATAACACCTAATAATAAAGCGTAGAATTTTAATTATATACAGATTTGAATTTTTGGAAAATCTTGGAAATGGATTTGAATTTTTTTTTTGCAAATTGTAGGTTAAAAAGGCTGAAGAAACTAGGTCAATTGCCTTCAAAAGAAGTAAGCTAAAGTAACAGCTGCTGTAACAAACAAAAAAATGCTAAAGCAATGCGCAAAAATGGTAGGATTATGCAAAAGTTTAGACTTTCAGAAGCACTAAGAAATGTGCATTAAATCAAGAATATATTTTTAATAATACAACTGATGTTCATATGCAGGCTATGAATTCATAGCATATGTTCCTACGCTATGAATTGACTGTCTGAAACAGGCTGCAGTGCTGAAGACAAAGAACGTGAAACCGAATATAAAATGTTCTTATTTTTACTAATAAAACTCTAATCTACTTTTTGGATGAATTATACAATATTATTTATGCAATATTATTTATGCCTATAATGTGATACTGAGACCTTTTACTTTTTAACTAAAAGCCTCCGCCACCTGCCTCGGTAATGATCGCCAACTCCTGGAACTACTTCCTCAGTCCCTTTGCTTCTTTCGCTCATTGGATATATTACCTTCGTTCATTTTTTTATACTTTTTTGAAGACTAAAATTCAGAATAAATAACTCATAAAATTTCCTCTGTACGAAGTTCTAAATTCATAATTGGTTTCTCTGTACATAATTCTAAATATGTTGCTTTCAATATTAATTTGAAGTTAAAAAAATTTAAGGATTTTTCTTAAGTTTACCGTGTTTTTTATTGGTGATTCTAAAGCTGGACTTTTCATTAATGATTTAATGTTCAGAAGTACAACAGGTAAAAGTCTTTTATAATAAAGTTCTAGAATGCTTAAAAACTAAAGAAAGTAGCGAGAAAAATGAGTATAATCATAAGAAAGGGTTAAAATTATAACTGTATTTAGCAGTTCAAGTAAAACTTTAAGTTGGAATCAATATCAACAATTAAAATATCTCCGAAGTAGTTCTTAACCTTTAAATTTTATTTTTCCTATTAAATGATTTATAAATTTCGGTATTCTGACACACAATAGCTTCAATTCTCAAGTGTAATATGGAGTAGTAAAATGTATAAAAAAAGTGGCTAATGTAGTAATAAAGTGAATGAAAATTGAGCATAATTTTTGCTTAATAATAACTGAAAGAGAACATTCGTATTGCATCCACATGCACTCACGCAAAAAATTAGCCAATAGCATTTTCAAACTAGCCTGACAGCTCTCCGTTGTTACAGACGCATGTTATACTTGAACCAATCAAATTCGAAGAGACATTGCGTTTCTTCTCGGCCTCATATTTGTGTTAAAGCATGAAAAGAAATTTCCTCAATTTTATTTGCTTTATTCTAGATTTTATAACGCATAATATAGGTTTTGTATAATATAGGTTTACATAGTAAATTTTCGGAAAAGCATCGTACTTCCGCAATGATTATTCACTGAGAAACTCAGAGGAAACTGAATTTCCTCGACGAATTTAGGAAATTAGTTTCAGAACGAACAATAGTTAAATCATTGATAAAAATTAAAATAAAGATTTTGATATATTTCAATTAAAAGTAACAAATACGTACCTCTGTGAAAATATATTACTACTTTTATTAGTTTGAATTTTTTCTGGGATAGGTTTCTCCGTTTTGAGAGAGACTTATATGGGGAAATAGTTTCACGAAAATTTCAGTTAAATATCTGGCAATAATAATATTTCATTTTGGAATTTTTTTTATTTTCTTATTCACCTGACAAAGAAAAAAACAGACAAACAAATGCGTGCTATGTGGAATAAAAGATTTAAAGTTTGATTCTGATATGAAGAAGGAAGTCGAACAGATTGAAGAGAGATAAACAAATTTCATGTTTTGTTTGGAAAAAAACTTTCAAACAATCCATACAATGACTTCTGTTTTTTAATACTGAATTCTGTGCATTATTCAGAGAAGATGTTTACGTCAATAAAGCATGTCATCTATTTCACAACCAATACCTTCAAAGAATATTTTTCATCAAATAATATACCTTCAAATAATATATAGTGGGAAAATCCATGATACATGTAATTATTTTATAATAGCGCTTTTTTTCCTATGCCTGTTCGTACATTCTGGTTGAACACTTGAATAATGATTATAAGACTGACTTAACTTTCTCGGCCTGCTCTATTGTAGTTTCATTCAAAATCTCTATTCGAGATAATTTTGTTAGAAATAGTGATTGATTCAAATTTACTGATAAAACCTAGGACTTGGCAGTTAAGCTCGTCCTTTTAGAGGTTGGTTTCCAGGACCAGATAATGGAGGAGTCCAATGTGGCACAAGCACGATTTAGTCTCCAATAACTTGTCTAGCACACGGTTCAGTGAGCAAAAAACGATATCTTTGCCCTCTCAAGGAGTGTTGGTAGGGCATATATCAATAATGCTAAAACTGTCATTTTTCGACTTAGTTTTTCACAGCAGCTAATCCAGATATTGTTTCAGTTTTTTTCACAGAATATTTACATATACATGTTTACACTGTGATAACTGATAATACATATCTTTGTCAAAAAATAGATTTAAAAATTAAGAGCTGCGAACACTTAAATTTTTCAAAAGTTTCAGCATTTATGAGCAAAAAATCTTTTATTACTCAGTTAACGCTAAGACATTATCATGGCGTACAGCTGATATATTCTCAAATAACCGCAAAAAAAATTAAGTGATATATATCGTAAGCAGTTTCTTAGAAAGGGTACGTAGGAAAAGGTCAGTTTTTTAACATCATTGATATATGCCTTACCGACCCCCCCCCCCTAATAGATAACTTGAATTTTAAGGATTAAATGGAAGTTTTCAGTACAGGGGTATTTCCTGACCCAATTATAATGCTGTTTAGTGCGGTTTATATTTTGATGTTCTCGAAGAAATATCTAAATTTTGAGGCAATACATCTCACAGAAGAAGCCTTTTGACTTGAATATATATATGTATGTAATATATATTATATATGCATATAATATATATACACACACACACAAAAAGGNACGACGATGTACTGGTTCTCGCCCGCGAATTACTATTACTGCCTACATAAGTATCGAGTACTAATTTTTAAGGATTCTCTTAGAGTATAGAAGCTCTCTTTTTATTAATGACATTCTAACTAAGTAAAAAAAAACTCCGTGAAAATAATCATATATAATTTATAGTATCAGGTCTAACTTAATAACTTAAAGAATGCTCCATCTGAAAGGTTTCATAACGATTTACAGAGATTATCAATTTACAATAAATGCAAAGTGCTTCGTATTCCTTTCTTTTAATATATTCTTTTAAAATTTATGAAAATTGCAATCGCAGTTTATAGTTAATTCGGATAATTAATAAGAGTGCAATAAAAAGCTCTCAAATCTGCAGTGATGAAACTCGAAAGGTGTTTTAATCATTACATGTTAACCCGTTTTTTTTTTACTCTAGCAATCAAACAGGCTTTGTTTTCTGACCAGCTTTGCTCAGTTGTGAATCGTTAAAATGCTGATTTTTCTCCAGTTTTGCTCAGATTTTCCTAATAGTTGGAAACCCCTGATATTTCGACTTTTTTTTTTACTTCATTGCTGGTGAGAATTAAAAAACAGATATATTATTAGTGGTGATTATGTGGAGTGTCATGGATAAGGTTTATGCTATATCCACAAAAATAAATTTATGATTAACTAAGAATCTTATTTAAAACTTTCTACCTGTCCGTATTAAAGCACCAAAGCACAGGACTAAGGAAAAATATTTTGTTTTTACACAAGTACTTAATCTTACCTAATTCAAATCTGGGGAACTCAAATTCGAACTTTTTCGCGAAGTTTGTAAAGTGTGTATAGGCATATAACGTATGTAGCGTATACATATCAATACACCTGTTTCTTACTTTGAAAACAACACTTAAGACAAAAACCATATGAACTTCACCTATCGCATTATAAACTGAAATATATGATCACCTTTTTCCTATCACTCCTTACGTAGCAGAGATGCTGAGCCAGTTAGTATTCACTATTGGGAATTAGAAATATCCTCGTTAGGAACATATTTTTAACTTACATAAAAGCCGTGGCTTGCAGAGAGAAACCTATTGTTGATTTGAAATCAGCATGGCAAAATTATCTAAGATGCATTCAACATTGTTTTCAAGTGTTATTATTATTTTAATTTTTTAAAATTTAACGCGAATTTATCAAGTAATAAACTCAGTTGTTAAAAAAGTGCTCTTTATAAAAATTGAAAATTCATATTTCATTATTTTTTATTTCGCTAAATTCAACTATATCACTAAAATTATAATGTATATAATTTCAATTTTTAATAATAACATTTTATGTACAACAATTTAACAACAGCATAACAATAGTATAAACATACTATTGAATTATAGAATCTCGGTAATATTCTTCAGATGTTGAACACTTAAATTGCAATATCTTCTAAACCATACTTTTTCGTTATTCCTTCAAAACATTTCTGAAAATATAAAGAAGGTATTTAAATATCTGAGGTATATAACATGCTATTAAGGACTATGCATAATTCAGAAACATAAACAATCTCTCAAGTCCAATCCCTTTATATATGCTTTTAGAAAATAGAGTAAAAAAATTACAAATCAGTATTTAAGCTAAGAGAAATTTCATCAAAATTTGATTAATCAGTAACATTTATCATTTATTTGAGATAAATATGTTTTCTTTTTGAGTCCCATTTTGTAAAAGATTCTAAAAAACTATCTTAAGGGAGACGACAACGCAACATCCTGTATAAATCAGTCAATTCATTTATTGAAAGATGAATAAAGCTTCTTCTTTTAAGATTTTTTTCAGAATTTTTCGTGTTATACAATTAAAAGTCTCTTGTTTTGTCTGAATATTTCGTTAGAATTAGAACCAAACATTCGTTTCGTTTAGTGTAAGAACTATTATTATATCTCTTTCCATCCTTCTTTCGATAAATACTTTTTCATATATTTAATTTCATCTCTTAAAATGATGTTCAGACGCAATAATTCCAACAATTTCCGTCATATTTACTTACATTTTTTATAGCAAATATGTAACATCTGAGGTTTTAACAGCATTTAAGATTTATTTATTTGCGCTTGTAGTTTTTGATAATTTATTAAATACTATTGCTTATCGAAAAAGTAACCTTAAGACCTGAGTTTTTCTTAAATTAATTTTTCCAAAGTTTTTCAAATGAAAAAATATTATGTCCAACAAAACTACATTACAACTATAAAGCTGCTAGAATTATAGGCAATTAAAATAAAAATTGAACCAGATTTTGAACATGAAAAATATTAATTTGAATACGTAATATATTTCTAATACTACGTTTCTACTTGCAGTAAGTCTTATATTTTTAAATTAAATTTTCACTGGTGATAAGTAGTATATTTCTGATAAGATGTATCTACTCGTTAAGTCATTTATTTCGAAAATGATGTTTTTACTTTTAATAAGCTGTATATTTCTAAATTAATGTTTTTACTAGTAATAATTCTTTTATTTCCAATACGGCGTTTGTATATTTTTGATATACATAATTTTCGATTTATGTATTTGAGAAAAGCTCTTCGAATGAGCATAATTTTTAATTATGAAAAAATAAAATTTTGAATTTTTGAGTAAATTTTGCATTGGTTTCTTTATTTTTGGTTCCCTTATTTTCATCATATTTTAGAACATTATTACAACACAGTTATAAATACTTACAGTTGATGCTTCATCAAACACTACCTGAAAAGTAAAACACATATAAGTGTTTTAGTAAGCAAACAGTTTCTGCAATATTTTCCAATTGTTTACAAGAATAATTTTTTAAAAAAAGAAGAAAAGAGGACAACTTATATTATGTGAGATAAGTAGGCTTTGTTTCGAATTCTAATAACTTTGCATTTTTCAAACGGAATTTCTATAAACAAATGCAGGATTCATTTTAATTAAACGGAATCATATAAAGTTAGAAATAAAATTTGCTAGTTCTCTCCACTTATCTTTCGGAGTTTTATATAAAATTTGCTAAACTTTGAAAAAATTTTTAATTTGAAACAAATAAATTCAATACCATAGTTAAAGAACATTTTTTTATTTGAGCTATTGAAAACCTCTAATTTTATTTAGGGTAACAACCTTTTTGAAGAAAGATACGAAAATTTTAATTATTTCATAAATAAATTATGTTTAAACTGTTTTTTATAAAAACATTTTTATGAATATTTTCTGTAAAACCTAAATATTTTATATAAATTTTTAAATTTTAATTGTTTTTAAATTTTTACATCAAAATAATTAATTTCTTGCTTTTTCTACTATTCGTCAAGAGGCTTGAAAACTTTCATTGAAACAAATGCACCATACGAAAAGTTGAAGCTTTATTTTATTTTCGGTAGTATTAAAAAAATTTTATAATTAATTTTACATTTTATTTTAATTTAATTTTACTTATTAATTAATAATATTAATTAATAAATTAAATAATAATATTATTAATTAATAATAATATTATAATTAATAATAATATTATTAATTAATAATATTAATGCTACTAATCAATTATTATTAATTAATTTATTTTGTAATTATTTTTTTTCTAAGTATCTTTAATATACGTATATAGAACGAACTGGAAGGAGTGGAGAAAAATGACATAGTAAAAAGTTAAAAATGACTCGATGCTTTATTTAAATCATTTTTTTCCTTCACCAAATCATCTTTAAAATTTAGAAATGAAAATTCAGCTCAACTTTCATTTTTTCTTCTTTTTGTATAAACTTTATATAGAATTTACAGCTTTATATTGCATTAAAAATATTTATTTTAAAACTCTAATAATTTTTAATGTAGTCTAATAAGCTTACAATTTATACTTAGTAAAATAATTAAGGAAAATGATCGAATAACTATTTTCTATCATAATACATGAGACATTAACATGTAGATGTGCTAATTTAAATTATGTTGTGTTCCTGAAATTTGTGTTCCTACCTCACTTAGTCAATATAAAGTTAAATGGAAACCTTACAAAAATATTTTTACTTTTATTTTCTGTTTACCAAAAATATTTTTGTATATCTGCGCAATTTAAGCTATTTTTCGTGCATTTTTACTCAATTTAATTAAAATTCAGAGATAAAAAGCAGCTACTTACATCTTTCATAGATTCAGCATTTTCAGACATGCAATCACTTATCTGAAATAAAACATATTTAGTATGAATATATATTCAATAGGATTTTTTTTTCTTATTGGCTCACAAAAATGCATTAACATCATCGCATATTTGTCTGAGCAAATAAATCAGATGGAATTAAATATGGCAATTAATTCCCTTTCAACACATTCTTGTAAGGTTTAACATTGTTTTTGAAAGCTCTTTTGGCAAGAAAAATAAATAAGTCACCTATTAAGTGCCCTATACTTGAAGCAAAGCTATAATTTTAAACCATATTTACAATCTTGATCCCGCAATGGACTGATCGTAAGGACAAGGTTCCCAGTAGAACACCGAAGTCAAGCATCACTGATTACGGTCAGTAGGCGGGTGGATGACCACTTTCATTAGCCTGCGTAGGGACCGAAGGTGCGTGATATCTGTCCTCGTTAAACTGTTCTACCGTAAAGTGCACGACTTCGGGCGCAGATCGTCGGGCTACCGAAGCGAAGCATTCCTCCCCTCTGTAGAGGATCAAAATTGTGATGGCATATCCTCGAATCATCCTCACGGATGTTTCCCAGACCGTCGCCAATAGCCCATTGTGCAGCTCTAGTGTGACGTAAATAAAGTATCTACCTACCTACCTAAATAAAATAGAGGTTATCAAAATGAACATTTTTGCGTCATGTCAAACATAGCTAAAATGTCGCCAAAATGTTCCAAACTGTCATCTGTAGCCCATTGTGCAGTGTGACGTAAATAAAATTACCTACAATATACCATCTTGTCGTAAAGAGTTATTAGAGATTTAAAACAGGGAAATAACATAAATAATATAAAAGTAATAATTTTTTTTCTAAAAAATTGGCGATAATTCGGCGATAATTTTCCATCTGGATTAAAATTGTCAAAATCACCTCCTTATTCTCAAGATTTATAAGGCCAGATAACGCGGCGCAGGAGAAAATTTTAAAATATTACAAAATTAGACAACAAATTCCGTTCATTTTCACAAAATTGTGGTTTTTCATCCATATTGACGCTTTGCTCTGTTTTCAGAATAAGCTGCGAGATCGCTATCTAAACTTGGCCAAACAGTCAGGAGTAACTATTACAGCCTCACAGCAGTTATGAAAGTGGCATATTATTTGCAACAAAAAAAAGCATTATTTTTTTAAGATGATGGAGTCTTCGTAAGATAGCCTTGACAGTTTTACTCACTGAAGTTTTGAGATTTTGATTCGTTATTTTAAGAAGAAAAAAAAAACTTATAACTGTAAACATAAAATACTAAATTAATTTATGCAAAATTTACTAAGTCTTATATTAATGAATAAATATTTTCAATTGTTATCAATTTTGTAATTTCAAATAAAATGTATTTAAAGAAACACTGTGTTATTACTCTTCAAAAAATTAAATAAATTAAAATAAGCTAATTACCTTTTGAAAAATAGTTCTGTCTTTGCAGGCTGCAACTAAGAAAGGATAAGCTTTGGTATCCACACCTGGAAGAACCTTAGTTTGGCATTTAGTAAGAGCTTCCTTTACCTAAATTGACAAAATATCCATTGAACATAAGTTAGAGATCACTTAAACAGCAAATATTGATGAGTTTAAAATCTGAGAAAAGATCATATACGAAGAAAAGCAACTTAAATATAAATTTTTCCATATCTTATCATTTCGTATAACAATCGGTAGATATCGCATAATCGACTTTCTTTTAAGAATCTAAAACGCTATAAAAACAATTGAATATAAGATTCATGCTTTAATTTACTATAAGAAATTAAAATTTTAAAACTTAATGCGTATAAAAAACAAAAAAGGAAAGAAGAAAAACTTAATTTCAAGAATTTTTCAAAGAATTTTTTCCAATTCTTTGCTGCATTTTTTATTTTTTTCATTTGCAATTTTAATTTAAATTTATGAAGTATATTAAATAGTTTACATCAAGTAACCAGTAAGGTTAAATATTAATAAGACAAATTAAGCTATTTTATAAGTAGCTTCTGGAATACATCAAAGAACTTCAATGTTCTCATTTTCAATGTTTTTCAATGTTCAATTTTCTTAATTTTCAATGTTTACATTCGTTTATAGATAAAAGTATCTTGAATAATTAAAAAAATTAGTTAGTTCCTGATTTTTTTAAAAAAAAATCATGATATAATCTAATAAGCTTATAACCTGAAACTAAATTAGTGTAACTTAAACTGTTATTTACTATTACATACTGTTTGCACTTTAATTTTAATATGACGGTAAAATAGCAGGCAGCAGTCTGTCCATCAATTAATCGTAAAGTTTATGATAAAGAACGTTTTTTACCTTTGCAGTTTTGAACAACTAGTATGGTTAAAAGTACCATGAATACAAAACAATGCGATTTTTTAACCATTTACAAATAGCATGGTTTCAAAAATCCTTTAAAACTAGCATAGTTTCAGAACTGTAAAAAATAAATGGACATTGGAGTTAGGTGATGGGCATTGGATTTGGCTTGTGGTTGAATTGTGTTTTATCAAATGAACCGTAGAATGTGGTTTTAATACATTATCTGGTTGTTTCACCCATCGTATGGCATAAGACTTCTTGTGCTAAGCAGTTTTATGGTGCTTTCATGAATGTATTTAAGAGTATCGAATTACAGTTGTACAAAGTCACAAGTTATGGAGTGCACGACACTGGAAACTCTTCATGTGTTGGAGGGAATGAAAGAAATATTGTGGTGTCTACACTGGGAATCGAACCCCCCACTCTTTCGATTATGTGATTGACAGATAAGCCCTATCAGCAATTAAATGTACTCAGCTAAAGGAACTAAGTGGCTTCATTATGTGGACTTATTTGGTGCAATAAAATTTTGGTTGTTTAACCATATCACTTTATTTATGGTTATTTGACTAAATAAATGTAGTAAACTGTTGGAATATGTTTAAATAACAATTAAATATAGAGTTATTTAACAATTTTCTTCCGAGAAATTTCTAACAGTACACAGTTTTTTCCGCAATTTAAATATAATACTTCTGGTATTTTAACTGAAGTAAAGTATGATTTTCTACTGCAATGAAAGTCTAAAGATAAATATTTTTATTCAATTTTAAATTTTAATCAGCTTAGTCTTCTTTCGTATCTACCCCATCTGCATCCGATAACATCCAGTTCTTGGCTGAGGTTTTCAAGATGGGTGCCCTAAATATTTTAAGATTTTTTTTTCGGCAACTGAGTTTTACTCCTTTTCCTTTGGGGGTACCATATTGTTTAACTAAATATATCTTTTCAGAAACTCGATTATCATCTAATTATATTAAGTTTTTTGTACGTTTGTCGTTCAGTACTACAATAAATGTCCCGTTCATTAATTTATAAATTTCCAAGTGATTTGGTTCCTTTAGCCCAGTAGTTACGGCATTTTATCCCTCCAAATATGCTTTTTAAAATTCCCCTTTAAAATACAAGAGTCTCTTTTTCCTTCCAAGGCAGTGCCAACTGCCAACGTAGCGAAAATTTCATATTGATAAATTAAGAATTATGGCATTTTTATTGCAATGTTGTCAAATTAGCAATAGTGACGTTATTGTGAAGATTTGGCAGTATATCATTTGGCATTATATCATATTTTATCTGTGGGCAAAATTATTTTCTAATTTTCTTTTCTTTTAGCAAATTTTAAAATTAACTACATTTTATATTTTTACTCGCAAAATTAGGAAAAACGTTATATTAGATAGAATGTAAATTTCTGAAATTTATCTACAAAGATGGAAAACTTAAAACTGTTAGATTGAAAGGATTTTAAGGTATATATTCAAATATACTTACGGCTGGAGGATCAAGTTTTGCACATTTGTCAAGATCATTGCCTAAGGACTGAGTAACATTTTCTGCAAAACATGTTTAATATAATGAAATGATTATATGCATAAAAATAATGTTCAAATAACTTTCGAAAGCTTCAAACTTTAAATAGGTATAACTTCCTAGGGGAATAATTAAATATCATGATAGAGTTCTGATGATTAATTGCATGTCTACTTTATTTTCTAAAGCTGTAAATGTTCAATCAAAATAAATATTTTGGCTACTAATGAGAAGTGGATAATATAGAAATTTGATGTTATTTGATTTGTAATAAATTTAAATTATTAAAAATCATGAGGTTCAAGTATTTCCAAACTTATGAAATACGAAGTTATTAAGCCCTACTTGCTTCTGTAAATTAAAATTAAATTAATAAGATAAATTGTCATCTTAAGCGGTTTAATTAATTCCTTACTTAGGAAAATAGAAGTATAAAGTTGTGCAAAATAACAATACATCTTCCTGAGTACTGTTTTTATTTATTCATATTTTTTCTTTGCGAAGGAAGAATTTTTTCCTTAATATTTACCTTCGCGTTTGTGGTCTAGAATGAAAGTTAAAGTAAAGAAAGAACGAAAGATGAATCAATCCTGTCCAAGGTAATAAAGGGATCAGAATAAACAAAGAACAATTTGTTTAAGAGTAAATCCTAAAGCAGGTACTTAAAAAATCCATTTAATTTCAATCCAACAAATAGAGGACAATAGGCATGGCGATTAAGAAACACCTTGTTTTATTTATACGGCATCTTTTATATTTCTTTTTTTTATACGGCATCTAATTGTATTATCCGTATTAAATGATTTACACTCTTTGGTAGTAGTTGACTTCAACTTTATTTAATCTCGTTTTTTTTTTTAAATTTATACTTTTACAATTGTTAACAACCATCGTATACGGCCTCAGTTAATAAGAAAAATTTATAATTTTCGCTTGTGATTTCACTAAAATAAGCATGACTGAATTTTAGAATTAAATTAAACAAATTATTAAACTGAAAAAAAAATATCAAGAAAATCTACATTACTACAAAGGGAGTCCATTTCTCCTCCTGGTGCTTCAGCTGCAAAAGCAGCCAGGAAACAGGCAGTCAAAACACTCCAAAATACAAACATAATGTCGATAATAGCAAAAAAATCTCAAAAAATATGATGTTGGAATGCTGGAGCTAAATTAGGAGTGAACAAAAATTTTATCAGAAAATAAACAAAATATTAACAGAAAAAGTGTGTTTTGCACACATATTGGCAATGTTATATAGCAGATAATACTTTTTAAAGCTCAATTGGTCACAATTGGAAAAATATTGTTTTTACAGGAATCAATACTGTATAACACATTATTGAACTTAAGTTTTTACGAGCAAACACAAAACACAATGACACTAAATTACCAGCACAAAATTTCATGTAACTAAATCATTAATAAAAATGAAAATATAATTTTGCTGCTTTAAAAAGATACACAAAAGTAATGTAATGTTTTCATAAAAATTGAAAATAATAAATTTCACAAGTTTGTAACTTATATAACCATTTTAGGTGCAATCCATTATATAAAACTTGTATAATTGAAATTTATCATAAAATGCATAATTTTTCGACAAATTCATTATTCATGTTTTGATAACCTTGAATCGAATTAATAAATTTCATACTTAATCTACAATTAACCCAGTTAAGATTGAATATTATGATTTTTACGGGGTGTTAGATTGATTTTAGAAAAATTATTGAAAATAATTGTTTGAACCTTAAGATGTTGTAAGGAAATTCCTCTCCCCCTCAACGATATCATTTGAATGTAACGCTAAGAAATTTCACTTTATATTAATTCCAATGACTTTGAAAAAATCATTTTTATTATTAGTTTTGCCAAAAAACACGAATATTTCTAACGAAATTATTTTTGTTGAGAATAATTCAAAGAATATTTAAAGAAAAGGTTATCTGTGCAATAAAAATTAATTATGTCCATTAGTTACACCCTTAACTAGATACTCAAATATTATTCTAGAAAATCTTGTCACTGAGCCACATAGTCATAAACTTTAAAAGTGCCTGCATAGCGTAAATAATAAAAATTATCGCATTTGAGACTACAAGATTCAAAAAAAAGTAGTGACCTTGATTTTTTCTAACGAATTTAAAGATAAAGACAGCAAAAACGCTAGTTTCAATTTGTTTTACACAGTAGGATAATAATAAATAAATAGATATGAGATTTACCATGAGTATTTGAGATAACATTAAAATCAAACAATTTAGTTATACTGTTTAGTTTTAAAAAGTAAATTAATTAATTTTTTCTCATTTCTGCTCATCATAATACATTATTTAAAAATCTAAAATACATTATCTTCATGTTTAGGCAAACATTTTAAAATAAAAACATTCATTTTGTAATTTAAATGATAAGCATACTAATTCACTTTTTTTAAATTAAAATATTGCTAAAATCAAAAAATTCATAAGTTGAATCGTTTTAACTGATGAGCAGCATTTGTTATTAAATGTATTTTATCGAGACACCCCTGTTAATAGTTTAAATTACAATTTACTCTTTTATTATTCAACTAGTGAATTTGATTGAATTAAATGAAAATATTATTTTAGGATACTTATTAAACATACCTGCTAACTAAAAATGTATGTTGTTTGATTCTGTGTGGTAGAAAAATTAGAAAAATTGCATTACTTTTAAACACTAGCATTTATTTGACAGATTTTTTTTTAATGTCAAAACATTACACGGAAATTCATTTATCAATTGTGATACATGTAAAGTGGAAAAAAAGAAAGAAAGAAAGAACAAAAAAAAAGAGAAACTGTCCAAAAGAAAGAACTTTTTGAAACAGTTTGACTTTAGTCTTCTGAATAATTGTTGGTTTTGAAACTAGAAAAGAAGAATTGTGAGAAATTTGTTGTTTCACACTTGTAAAACATGACATTAAAGTGACATTGGAAATTTACTTTTATTTTATTTGCGTCGTTATTGACACATTTTAAAAGAAATTATGAAATAAGTTGAGTCAAAGTAGACAAAATGTGTTTTACAAAGACCTTATTGTCAGATTTTAACGGGACAACAAAGAACTTATTTCAATTGATCTTGTGTTTCAGTTCATGCATACACTATAAAAATTACGCTAAAAAATAGTGGCATCCTGAGTGCCGCTTCCATAAAATCCATTTTTCTATGTTTATTACAGTAAATATTACTTCTATAAAGCATTAAAGTAAATATTACTTCTATAAAAATTATGGTACATCAGATTTTTTGTACCATAAAATTTTAACTGCAAATTTGAATTTTATGCTAAAAGGAACCGGCACTCAGTGTAACTATACTTTTCACCGTAATTAGATCTAAAACATTCTACAGTGCACAGTTATCTAACTAACAAGTCAGTCATAAATACGAAACCAATCTTATAAAAGTAATTTGTTCTATATTTTTAGAGAAAAAAAATCTGCATATTTTGCTTAGCAACTATATCATCCTAAGACTCAACACTTGTCTGCTTTTCTACACTAAAAAAAAGAATTCCGAGTCAAATTACTGTAACTTGAATATGTAGATTGTATGAATTTCGGCACTTTGGGTTCACCATCCGTAACATCCATTTTTGTTGTAAAAATGCAGTTTATGGACAGTAAAAAATGCGGTTTGTGAGACTTTTTGCTTCAAAACATGTTCCGTTAAAAAAATGTATTGGCAAAATGGTACTTTTTACTAAAATTTGATCCGAAGTTTTTACTGTATACATGATGACTATTCCGATTGATGCATTTTTGTAAATAACGTGACTTCTTATCTATCATACCAGTTTCCCGCTATGTTCTTCAAAAAGCACAAAATCCCATATTTCACCTCACATCAGAGTATGAACGTGGGCAAATCAAATACGAAGAAGAATGTTGAGCAAGAGTGTATTTATGATAATCCTCATTTAAATATTGCTCTCTTACAATAGTTACAATAGAATGCCATCACTCCCTCAACATATAGTCCATTCTTGGCACTCAGTGATTTGGCATGTTCCCCATATTTTTTAGAATGGTGATTCAAATTTTGACGAAGTGAGGTATAAGGTTCAAGGAAATAGAGGAGAATTTTTGTGAGATTAATATGGTAAAACTGCCTCAGCGTGTCCAAATTACTAGCTTGAGTTCTGAATTGCGTTTCACAGAACATCACAGCTTTTATTGCGGTTCGAGAAGGCTTCAAGTCAACTTTCAATGTTTCTGCTCTGACTGAATTGGCGAAAGATGTAATTTAATGCTTTATCGAGCCTATCTCGAGGGAAAATAGAGTATCAAGAAAATGAGAACTGCTTCAGCGTTTACAAAATGCATTCTTTGTTATTATTTCTTAAAATCAAACAAATATTTAACTTCTGAAATTATGAATATATCATCAAAAAAAACAAAAGATTTTTGTGCTTTTTTCCAAAATAATAACAGACTTTCCATAGTTCTGAGATTAACGTCCTTAGATTTTTATGAGTTTGAAATATTTAAATATTTAAAATCAAATAAAAAAGATTCTTGTTCGTTTTCAAAACCTACTTTAAAAATGTACTAAAGTTCTGAAATTGAAAAATTTGATATAAATAAATTATGCTTTATAATAATTCAGAAGCTTAAAAGAAAATAATTTAAGAATACGTGTTTAAACTGTTTTTAATGAAAAAGAATTATGCATTTTATCGAGGCACATTTCCAACGAGAATTTTAGGCGTCTAAAAACTTACATTTGAACTATATTTGATCTCATTAACAGAGCAAAACACAGTGATTAAAACTCAACTACAATAAGCATGTTTTAATTCCATAAAATCCTGTTATTTGGATTATTGAAATAATTTTAATAAAGTTCATTTTTTGCCATCATTTTCTGAATAATTATTTTCTTGATGTTAGAAAATATAACGGATATGAATTAATGTTTATTATTCTGGCTGGGTGGCGCAGTTGGTTTGTCGTCGGCCTTCTGAGCCCAAGTCTACGGGTTCGATCCCCGTTCCATACACCGGATTTTCGGGATGCAGAAAATCTTCAGCGGCCATGTCGTGTGATTATGCGGCATGTAAAAGATCCCTGGAGTGCCTTATTTTCTCTTGGCAATTCCGGCAAAATTAAATTCCTAGGGCACTTTAGCATCCAAATAGAGTCTAGGTGCTGCCATCTAGTGTGACAGAAACTAGACGTCCAAATTAGCATGGCCAACGGTATCTCACCCATTGTGGTGGTCCTAAAAAAGAGTGGATACCACTTCTGGAGAACGCACTAGGTCTGCTCATCGTCAAGACTAATTGTGCAGCTCATTGGAAATAAAAAATATATATATATTCTGGTTTATGTTGGACAGATTTGCAAATACTATATATACACTGATTGGCAATTTCTAAGGAACAGTTACATGGTTCGGAATAATTAATAATAGACATTGATAGAAGGAATGAAAATAAAAACACACTTAGTGGAGACGACGTGCATTTATTGTAATGCAAAATGGTACAAATATTGTCACATCGAAAAATAAGAAAATTAAATATAAAAAGCATGCTATTTAGACGATTTACAGACTGCCACGAAAACTGAGTTTTCTGGGCAGAATGAAACAGGTATGAGTATCTCAAAAAGATGTAGGATTACCTAGGACACAAATGCATGTTTTGCATCTGTTATTTATGCTGTCCACTAAGCTATCGGGGTGTTCTTGGTGGGTATTGTCCCATTCCTACGCTGTTATCAGCTCTTAAACAGTTCGGAGAGGGTATGTTCTTAGTGAAAGACGCCTGTGAAGGGCATCCCAGATAGGCTCTAGAAGACTCAGTTGTGGGGTGTAGGCGGGCTCTTACATAAGGACCACACTTTTACTTTCTAGAGTATCCGAAACCTCAGCGCTCTTGTGTGGCCGTTTATAAACAGAAATACTGAATCTACCACACCCCTAAAAACACGAAAATGATCCAAGAATGGTCGTAATCTTTCTCGGCGATGGCATGGTTGAAGAGAGAGGCATCAAACAGACTTCCGTGCATAAAAACCAACTTGATTTAATCTCCGTGAGTTTGTTCTTGCAGAAACCTGTGTACCTGGCTTCAAGATCTGCAGCTAACCTACTAGAAGTGATATTTTTATTTATTTTTGACACTAAGAATACACATGGATCTGCTTGAGGTATGGTGGGCACGACAGCCAGCGTGCTTTTGCAAAGTATTTTCTGCTTCAGCTGCCTTTTTTAATTTACCCTCTTATTACTGCTGCCACAGTGGTGACACTTTAATCGGCTTCCAGTCGTCCAACTGCTCCTCCACGATCCGTAGCACTCAAATGACCTCTTGCTGATATATTGCACTTAATTCTTTCACTATCATCTTGAATTTCCCAGAAATAAGTTCAACAACCTACGGCGCTATATTGGTTAAACACCTAAGAACATAAGTCTTTGACTGAATGAAAAGCTTGTACAAACTGCTCCTTATACATATAACGGGTACTGATCTACCACGCCGTCTGCGCTTGATATTACGGTTTTTAGTGGACTATCGAGAACGCTACTTTGCAAAAATCAGTTATTCCTTAGAAATTGACAAAAGGTACAGTAATCATTGGTCAATGAGTAATTATATGACCCTGCTTTATTCTCTGGTGATTCGTAAAACTTCAATGTAAATAATAATATATTGCAAAAATTAAAGGAATTTTAAATTAAATACAAGGAAAAAATAAAATTGAATTCTAATATTTTTTTTTGTGAACACTTTTATTTCGTTACATTGTATAACGCCCTAAAATTTCTAAACTATTTTTAGTTTTGAAAAACTGTAAACATTGCTCAACTTCGAAATATCTGCTGGGTTTACACTAATTAATATAACTTATCTAACTCCATAAATCAAGTTAGTGAGAAAAACACAATTGAGCCAAATTGAGTACAAAATTGAGCCAGCATAATTAAATCATTTCTTACTTTATCAGAATACAGACTATTAGAACATTTAAATTAACCATCTATGCTTTAAAAACATTTGCGAAAATTGATTCCATCGAAATTCAGTTTAATAAACGGCCGAAAATGTAACACACTGTTAACATTTTCATTCTGAAATTACGGTAAAATAACCGCCAGCAGTTTGTCCTTCCGATTCATCATAAAATTCATAGCTAGGAATATTTTTTACCTTTACGGCTTTGAAACCGTTTACAACTGGTACGTTTAAGAAACCATGTGTATATAACTATGTAGTTTTGTAACCATTTACGACAAGTATATTTTCTGAACCATAAAACTGATAATCAAACAGTCATTGCAGCTCTGTGGGTCTTGCACCATTTATGAGTGCGTGAATGATAGTTTCGTTTTCTTATAGTTCAGGGACACCGATTGAAGAGTGCAGGGCACTGGAAACTCTTCATGTATTGGAGGAATAAAAGAAATTTCGTAGGGTCATGAGATTGATCGATTTAGCCCTCTAAATTACAGTATGTCCCCAGTTGCATGAATCAAAATAGCCTTATATGGTTGGCCTATTAACTGTATCAGAGCAAAACAGTGAATAAACGTTTTTCCTCACTCTTTAACAGTTTCAATATCTTCTTTTTTATAGTTATTTGACAGTTTTGGTTGAATATGATGAAATAAAAATTAGAACAATTGCTATGTACCCATTTTTGCCGAGAAATATCTGACACTGCTGAGTTGCATTGAAAATCAGTTAGTAGAATTTGCACCTTACACCTGATTTTGTGATCGTCAATAGTTCTATAAATACAACATACGGTTCCATATGATTCATACTAACATTAAATAAACCATGTAAGTTTCTCCCGTTCCATCTCAGCTTATAAAATATTAGTTTCAGCAATTAATTTATAATTACACTATTTTGCACTTTATAAATAGTGTATTTTCCGTTATTATTTCATTATATTTCTCATTTGCATATTAATCGTAAAATAATAGCTTTTCAGATCCAGAATAAATATTATGATTCTTGTTTCCAAGTAAATGCACGTTTTATGACTAAATATAGTGCTCTTCTTTTTTTCTTTTTTTTTGTTATTTCCTTTTCTTTATTTTTTACTTCAACTTTAGTATACACTAGTTTCTTTTAAATTAAAAATAACGTTCATTTCTTAGAATAATCAGCTCGTAGAAGTATTCTATAATAAAGATTTTACTATGAAATCTTTTTATGATGATACAAATCTTACTATGAAATATTTTTTTGCTACTTTTTTTTCTTCATTTTTTACTTCAAACTTAGTTTATATTACTTTCTTTTAAATTTAAAAAAACGTTCATTTCTTTGAACAATCAGCTCGTAGAAATATTCTATAATAAAGATTTTATTACGAAATCCTTTATAAAAACTCCTCCCAGACTTTTTTGTTTGTCTGAGTTCTTTATATGAGACTGAGCGTTTTTTATAGGAAAAAGAAGTCAAAAGAGGTCGCAAAAATGCCACCTGTGGAAATAAAAGAATTGCTTTTTATGCTATTTCAGCGAGCGTGTTTCATGGAGATTACGTTTCTTTCACAAAAACGTCTCTTTCAACTTATGAACGTTTTGTTTTGATGACAAGGAAATTGAATAATACAACCTTTTATTTTGGTGATAAAAGGCATTAAATAAACATCCCAGATAAACTGCAGCTGTTTAAGAATTTATGCATGGAAAATTGACAACTTACTCTATCTAGATTCAAAATTTAAAAAATTCGCCTGTATGATATACATTTATCATTTGCAAGGGATTCATCATTTGAGAACACCAAAAAGTTGGGTAATTTTTATCGAAGCGCTTTGATTATGAATTTGGTAAAATTAACAACAGCATATGGTCTTATAATATGTGATATTTTATATTATTCTATAATTAATATAATATTTAATGTTTATGTAAAATGTGATAAAATTTGGTAAATAAGGTAAATTTTGATCATTTTATTATGATACCTTAGAGCAGGGATGGGCAAACTTTTTTTGGTTGAGTGCAAAAAATAAAGAAAACAAAAAGTTTGGTGGGCCGAGAAAAAACTTCTAAAATGAAAAAAAAAAGATTTACAAGTTTTAATATAAATGTTTAATAAGATGAATGAAATTGTGATTTCATTTTTAAAAGTTCTTTATATTGAGGTTCGAAGTGAGATGTGCTCATTTTAAGGGACGAGGTTAAATGCTTGTCTGCAGTCTACTTCTGATGTGATTTTTTCTAAGGTTCATAGTTGAAAACACTTGTTCACAAAAATAAGAGGAAGCAAACATACCGTTGATTTTCTGGGGTTTAGATATTAAATTTTGAAAACAACTTTTGGTAATGATTTGTAAAACTTCTAAAAAAATGACAAAAAATATTTGTGTTTTGTAGAAAATAGTAATAAATTTTATGAAAATCAAAGAATTCAATTAATTTTTAAAAAAATATGAAAATAAGCTAGATTAATTATTATTATAAATCACTCATTTAGTAATTTGGTTTTTGAGTCATTCGTTTGCTAATTTTTTTTCGTTCATACAGTGACGGATTACCGGAAATTCTGGTTTTCAAAATTATAGTTCATAATACCACACATTTACTAAAAATACAAAACAGAAATGCAAATTTAATCGAATAAATGATTTTTACGCTAGGCTCTAAGGTATCATGATAAAGTTACGGAAGTTCATCACATTTACAAAATCTTATCACAAATTATAAAAACCTATTTTGTTGTTAAGTTTACAAAAATCATTACCAATGTACTTCGATCAAAAATTGTGTGTCAAAAATTGTGTTTAATTTCTATTAGAGTCAGAAACACGGTAAATTTTACCATTTTTGGGAACTTTTGACCATATTTCTTTCTCAATGCGTGGAATATTTAATGCAACGGATGACGTGAGAAGTATACATTAAATACACGAACAAATTAGTATCTTTTTATGACAGTCTAATTTTAACTCATTCCAGAATGTATTTGTTGTTCACTCAAAAAAACTAGACTTAATTCATAATTGAATGTTTTTTATTTTTCTCGAAACATCAATGTATTTTATTGCAATAGTAACATTAAATGGTCAGTTTAATCTTATAAGTTTGCGGAGTAACGTTTTTGTGATCCTTCGTCTTGTTTCTGCTATGGATAATCTAAATTGTATTTGTCTGCTACTTCATAATAGCATTTCTAAAAAATGAAATAAAAATTAGTTGCGTTTCGTAGAAAACATTAATATATTTTATGAAATGAAAAGAAATTTTGACTATATTTATTATTTTAACAAAATATGAAAGACTACATTAATAATTAAATAAATAATTCCAAGAAACTAAAGCGGTAAGATATTGCTTGATTACAATCATATAACTTCAGTAATTGGAACTAACAGTTGACATGATTTAAACCCTCAAAAACAAGCGCCTATATTTAAGATATACCAGAGGTGAATGAAAAGAAACGTAGAAAAACACCGGCCGAAGGAGAAAAAAGATGTTTTTTTCTTATTCACGTCCGGCAATTCTTAAAAATGGTGTCTTTTTTCTGAGCACTTGAAACATGTCAACTGTTATTTCCAATTTGTATACAGGGTTATTCATAATTCCCTAAGGGGTTTCGAAGCGTTATAGTAAAAAAAAGGAAGACGAGTATGGCGAAAAAGAACATATGAAATTATTCCTAAAGTATTCAAGTTTTAATTTAAGCAGTTGCTGGTAGATGGCAGTAACATGTACCACTGAAGTCAGTTATAGTAAAGAAAAATGGCGTTGACAGGCCGAGAGAATTATGAATAACCCTGTATTTTTGAAGCGAATAAAGCTTTTAATTAAGTATTAGATTACTAATTATTTAAGTCCGCTACAATCATGTGTGAAAGTTAAAAAATATAAATACATTTCCTTTTTAGAGAAATATCTTAATTAGCTTTTAAAACGCTGCACAGCATTCAGGTTTAAAATAATTTGTTGCTAAAATGTGCAGTTTAGTTCGTATTTATAATTTATAATTTAAGTTTATTCGTATATAAGTTTTATTCGTATTTATTTGTATATTTATTTTACTGTTATGACTTAAAAGAGAACAAAAGTCTTCAAAATACTTTTAGAGTATTTTAGCTCGTTTGTAAAGTAAGTAAGATTAAAAAAAATCAACCGGAAATGATGTATATACTCTAAATATATAACTCAAAATTTAGATGATACTGATTAAAATTTAGATGAAAGATGCTCGTGTTGTCATTGGGCTTTTAATGCATTCTCTTCCGAACAAACTTCAGCAGTTAATCAACTTAAAATGTTTTTATTTAAAAATTCACAATTTATATAAAACTTATACTTTGCTCAACTCACTGACCTTAGTTATGCACCACTCTTTGAATACATAAAAAAAAATTAAGATAGAATAGTTAATTAATTACATTCTATTTCTACTGCTACTTTTCCTTCTTTAATATTGATTTTTAGTGTTGTCCTTCTCGAATTGTAAATAAAAAAGAGTTGTGTTCAAATTTAAGAAGCAAACATTTTTTCTTGTCCACAAAAGTGTATTTTATAAGATTTATCAAAAAATACTCACTGTTCCAGCTTCGAAGTCAGCCTAAAAAAGATATTAGAACTTGTAAAGTTTTATAAGTTCATTTTCTTTAAAAAAAAATAGTTATAAAAAATATACAAAAATTTATCTTAAAAATATAATATGCAACAATTACCAGAATGCGCTGTAGAATGTCAAATTGTTTAAAATTAGAATACAAATTTTTTTTATTTGTTTTATTTTTCAAACCAAGAAGTTATTTCAGCATATACTTTAATAGATTAAGATATCACACTTTTTGAGGAAATTTGAATGAGTGGATTTTTTAAGTGGAAAAAAAAATTTCTCCTAACATTTTATGTTTCTATTAACAATGTTTATATTAACGTTCTTTTCGTTCCAGAAAATTATTATATTTATAAACAATCTAAACATAAATATATCAGATTTATTTGATGTTGATCAATAGAAGTATCAATTTCATTGTTTGGAGAATTCCTCATATGTTTATTAAAATATTTAAGTTTTAGAAACAAAATGTTTCGCAAATTGCCAGTTTCATGAATACCTTTTTTCCCTGAAGTTCCTAAAACAATTCCTCTCTATGAAAGTTATTTTGAATTTAAAACCTTAGCAAAATCTCCTAACAACCAACATTCAACATATTTGCTAAATAATATAGTTTTTTTAAGTACACATATTTAAACTCATACTTATCCAATCTATTTATGCTATCACTAATTTGCTTTATGGATAGCATTTTGTAACGGAAATTTATTCTACAAGATACATTGAAATCACTTGAAAATTTTAGTCATTAAAATTTTCTGAGACAATTCATGATTTTTAGTTGCACTTGAAGTTCATTTAAGTCGCACTAGAGCTGCACAATGGGCTATCTGCGACGGTCTGGGGAACATCCCTCAGGATGCCCCTCTCCTCTTCGGTAGCCCGACGACCTGCACGCGAAGTCGAGCACTTTACGGTAGAACAGTTTAACGAGGGCCAATACCGCACATACTCAGTCCCTACGCAGACTGATTCAAGTGGTCACCCACCCGCACACTGACCGCAGCCAGTGATGCTTGATTTCGGTGATCTCTGGGAACCATGTCTTAACGATCAATCCACTGCGGGACTTCATGATTTTTATCGTTTCCTATTTCTAAGGGTTTATTTTAAGTTGTTTCGAAAAGACCGATACGCATAGATAAGATGTTAAATCGCATGTAAAGACAAATAAATTAATATTTCAAGATATAACTTCACTGTAAAAGATGGTTTTTCAAAATTGAGCGAAAACGTGTCAAAATATATCTAAAACAAATAATAGCCAAATTGATTTTTGAGCAATCATAGTCTCAAAAATGATGTAGAGGGAAAAATGTGTGTTGCATGTCGGTAGGATTGTTGTACATGTACAGTGCCAAAATGAAAAACGGACCAACCTGAATAACTTTTGATCTAAGGATCGGATCTTCACGTTCTAGGACACAATCCTAAATGGTTCGAAGCTCAAATATGCTAGTTAATAAGTGCTAACGATATTTTAAGTTACGAAATCAGACACACAAACGTATTTTCTCTAAATAAACGTATCTTTGATGTATTTGAGTTTCTGACCCCCCCCCCAAAAAAAAAGGTAGCCGCAATTCTGGGAACTTCTGGACCGCAATCTGTTATTTTATGATGAATGGGTAAAGGGCCATGAGGGCTTAAGCCACCAAGTGACTGACCATAACTGACTGTCGGGGGATTTGCGTTCTTTGGTTTTCTTTTCAAGTTCCTGTTTCTGAACCTAAAAACAGAATCGAAAAAGGCTTTCAAGAATGAAAATTCGGCGTTTGATCTAGAAGTGTCTGCATTGGATTTATTTGAGTTGGTGTTGGTCTCGGGAATTTAGACAATGAAGTGAAATTGATTACCACCGTGGATTAAACTTATTGGTGGTACCTTTGAATGAATTTATGTTCTGGCCAAATGCGCATCTTAAAATAACTAGTACCGGTAATTTTTGAATTGTTAACATATTTTTGTTCTTCAATGGATCAGTATTGTAGACGGCAATAAATTTTTCATTCCGTTGTTTTGCAAAGTTTGTCTTATTTCAGCCATGCAACCAGATTTACATTGTGTTATTGCGGGTATTTGCTTGAAATGGTGTATCTTCTTTGAAATTTGCCAGTTACTTTGATAATGCGTAATTTAAGTCATAAACCACATTATAATACAAGAGATGTTGAAGTTAAAAATACTCAAGAAAAGGACTTACATCTTTCATATCCTTGCTGTTGTCCTTAACGCACTTTTCAAACTGAAATAAAATAATTAAAATTGTAATACTTAATGAATCAGGAAAGTCATTTACAACTCTGTTTAATTCGCTCTTAAGCTATTCACAAAATTAAAAAGAATAAATAAATATTGAGTGAAAGTATTTAGCAAAAACCGAAAAAACAAGAAAAATCAATCAAAATACAAGCACTGGATCTTCTAAAGTAAATTTCGTAAAGTAAAGTATGAAGCTACTAATAAATAATATATTATAATTCTCTACATCCAATACAGTACTTGCAACTAGCTATATGGTTCCGTAAAATCATGTGATTGTGCATGGTGCACTAACGTTACAGCTTTAAGACTTGGGTTTATTATCACATTGAATCAATTTTAGAATCAGATTTAACGGGATATCTTCAAACAACCTCCCGTGTGTGGACTGAACCTTATCGGCTGTCCTACGATTGACGTCGCTTGCAAGTATGCAATTGTAAGTTTAGTTTAGTTGTATATTTAGAGAAAATAAATGTAAATGTTATTAGAATATTTTAAAAGTAAACCATTGATTGCATGATTAAACAAAATTGGTAAGCCACGTTTTAGAAACTCCAAACAGCAAAAACGTTCTTTTTGGTAAATCAGAGAAAGCCATTTAGCTTAACAATCTTAGCTTAACAAACAAGTTAAGGGGTTTAATAAATACGAAGTATAACAGAGTAAGAACAAAACCGATCAGACGGAGAGCTTTAATGTTAAAATTTTCATGTATACAAAGTAAATGTTTTCCTTTATAGCTATCTATATCTCTGTTATTACTATACTGACAAACAGAACATCGTAGCTTATGTATTTTCTTACGTTAAATAGAATGGAAAACAAAACCATGTCTGTAGGGCTAATAGTTCAGAAGTACTAAGAGTTATAAAGCGTAATTTGTACTTATACCTGCTTATGTACCTGAGATTAGAGATCTAGAGAATTTGGCCATAGTTCCCTATATTTTTTTTAAATACTTTAAATTCAATAAAACTTAAACCAAAGTTGATATACTTAATAATTTTTAAATTAAAAGTGTTTCATGAAAAATTATGCTTTTACTGCTTGAAGCTCACATAACTTCCAAACTATCAAACCAATCAACTTGGTTTTGATCTTAGTCTGAATCAACAAAAATAACTAAATAACATATGGAGAAAATTCCCCGAAATATGAGGTAACTTTTACCATCAGTGAGATTTCAATATTTGGCATATATTAGTTAGATATTAGTTAAATTAGTTTTGCTATAAACATTTATTATCGAAACAAATTTGTAAAACGCATTTTTTTTTTGCATTTTTATTTTAGAAAGTTTATATGCTAAAAGTAAAAACCAAACACATCGATGGTTAAAATGTTAAAAGAATGGAAAAATAAAAAATTGTTTTATTTTTTAACTCCTTTTGAAAACAAAATAAACTTATTTTCCGTTACGAATTTTGAAGATTTAGTGTAAGTCAAAATAATCTTATAATTTGTCACAATAAAACAAGAACTTTTAGGTTATTGCCCAAAAGGGACCAGATTTGAAATGTCTAGAATGAACTAGAAGAATTTAAACAAGAAAATGTTTAAATTGTAACACGCAATTAGTTAATAAATACTTAAGGAAATATTTAATATTTTTACTAAATTATATTAAGTTACAAACTGATTAAATCTTTTAATGACTGCTTACGTTTTTTGTAAAAGAGGGGGAAAAATAAGTTTTTGAGTGACCCATATTTAAATGCTCATTCAGACCCCACCCTCTCAAATTAATCTTGTGGATTAGAGAAGCCTGTTAAGAGAAGATTGTGTTTGCTTTCGTTAAACCTCTAATAAGCTTAACAGCAATGGAAAAAAGATGATTGAAATAAACCAATCACAAAACATCTATTTAAAAATCCTTATAATGAATTTGATTTTAGATTACGATTCCTGTCACTAAAATTATAAAACGGATAAATTTCTAATAAGTTTATCCAATTTAAAAGTAAAAGCACATGAAATTAGCTTTCAAACATAGGCATTATTAAAATATGTGATTCAAAGCTAAACATTCAAGCCAGCGGTTTTATGTTTTAGAAAACAATCAAAATCAAGACAGTAATCATAAAATTGCCATTCAGAATTCTTAAGGAACCCTGAATATTTCAAAAATTCGAGAAAAAAAATTTATTGCATTTTTCGAATCTTTATATCCTTCCTAATGTCTGTCTAAAACGATTTATTGGTACCTAACTTCGTTTGGAGGTTATACCGGAAAATAGAGAGTCGTCACTAAGCAGGTAGAAAGACCCGTTCGGTCGGATAAGGAGGGCGACATTCTTTTTGTGTCTCATCCATTCTGCTGACTGTATATAGAAACTTATTGTAGGCATTTCATTTATCGACCATTATATATATGAAATTAAACGTTTTCCCCTACCATAAGGCAAAACTTTAAACTCGTTTTTCTCAAAACGCTGTTTTTTGACCTGGCCCAACGTTTTTCTCATGGTCTTTACAACGAAATAAGCTGTTCTTTACTTTAAATTACGTAAAAATATATTCCTTAGAAAGTAGCATAGGATTTTTTTGATATTTTTACATTTCGATTTCATATTAGTATTTTAATGAATATTTTTTTAATGAAAAACTTAACTTTTTTTTAGGTTGCCGCCATTTTGGTAATTTTGCGAATATCAAAAAAACCGCTATGCTACTTTTTAGATAATGTCTTTATGTTTCAGAAAATCTGAACAAAATTGTTTTCCTATGTTTCAGGACTTCTAAATTCATGAGACCAGTGAGGTGCTACTTTTTGATGACCAGTCACACACGGAGCTGCCACCAACTTATTTTTTATTATTTTGTAAAAGAAATAATTTTAAAATAGACTTAAATTGTAGCTAAATAAGATTTAAAAAAACAAGCAGTCTCTGTATTGTCTCTATTTCTTAAAAAAATTCAAGAAAAACGTTAATATTTTACCATAATACATTTATATAAGGTTATATAAATATAACTATATAAGGTTAGTTAGTTATAACTAAGGACTAAATAGTCCTTAGTTATAACAATCCATAGTTACATCAATGGAATGAAACCAATTTTTGTCATTTATAATTCTGATATCTGCTGTAAAATATAAAAATGCAGAAAAAATAATTTCATACTCGTTGATTCTTTTTTCGAATTTCTAGTACACTGAAATTATGGCATTAGATTTTCTCGTATTCAGAAAGGAACAGAAATTTTACATGAAACTATACCTTTCTAAAAATGGAATTATCTTTGCAACCAGCTTCAAAATATGGCTTTGTTTTCACTTCTTCATTTGGTAGCAGTTCCAATTGACAATCGTTTACTATTTTCTGAACCTAAAGAGAAAAACAAGCAAAATATGAGCCATTTTTATCTAAAATGTGTCGGAGAGTAGATTCTTGCTTGAACTTTAGGGATTACTTTATTTTTTAAATAATTGGATTGATTTTAATGCTTGTAACGGTTTTCAAAAGAAAAAAAATGTAACGTGATTGATATTTGAAATTAATTAACTTTATTACAGCTGTTTCCTTAATATATTTTCATGAAAGGTGTGTAAAGGCCTGGAATTTACGAATAAGATAAATATAAATTAAGCTTTTTGTGACAGCTTATTGAATTTTAGCTTACGCTTATAAAGAGAAATAAAGACTGTGAATCCTTTGTTTCTCATCTAAAAACTTTCAATTGAAAACATTTAAAAATACTTAACATTCTTCAAACTGTTCCCATCATGGTGCTAGCACTGCTAGGTCATTTAATTTTAAATTCCAAACATAAGAATCAAAGGTAGCTCCATGAAATTTTGTGGACAAATGTGTTCGAAATCTTTTTCAGACAAAAGCTATCATTTAATATTTTCAACCATTAAGGTATCCAAATTTTATTCTTTTTTTTGGCAAAGAGAATTTATGAAGCATAAATAAATAAAGTCATTTTTCTCCCAGAAATTTCAATATTTCGAAAACGTTACTTCGAACCATTATCTTCTAACTTCTTACACTATATTGTTAAGTTCAATAAGCATGATCTGCTTCGTATTCTCAGTCATATATAATTGATTGGATATATTTAACAGCACTTAACAATTCATAAAATTGTGATAAAAATATAATGTATACTTACAGGTTTTGGATCTAATTTATTGCATTTGTCGAACTCAGCACTTATTTCATCTGTAATTTTATCTAAATAAAACAATAAATATGTCAAGTTCATATCATTTTTAAATAATTGAATTTTTTATGATCAAATTTTTACCGCATATTAATTCTGGCCCTGGTTTAGGTTGACTTGTTTGAGCAGTAGCAGATAAGACACAAAGAGCGAAAATGATCCAGATGGCATTCATATCTTAAATATATCTATGAACTGAGATACAGAAAATAAATGAAGTGTTAAATTGAATAGAAATGTTACTTTAAAAGAATCTGTCAAAATTAAAGAAAAAAAATCAATTTATAAGGAATTACTTATATTTTACGAAAATAACTTTCAGAGGAACTCGGAAATGCAGTGAAAAAAACATTTTCCTTAGCTTAAAATTTTTAAATCTTATCCCATATTCAAAACTTTTGGCATACGGTGGATAACAGTCTGGGATTAAAGATAAGAACATTGACCAGAAATTCTTATACCACCATATATATATATAGGTAATTTT